CTACTACTACTACCACCGTATCTGATTTAGATCTTAAATATTAATATCTCGAGTTGATAAACATAGATAACCAGGGTGGTAAATAGGCCATCCAAAGAAAAAGGAGCAGATAGATAGATAGATAGATAGATAGATAAATAGATAGATAGATAGAGATAAAGCAGCCAACGCGGTCCGGAAGACATGCAGCAGCAGCCCGGAGATGGTGAGCAGGAAGGTGTTTCAGAGTGGTTTCAGACCTCTTTTGGGCTTGTTTTTTGGGTACCCCAGCTTTGGGAGATGAAAAAAGAAAGAGAAAAGGTAGAGAAAGAGAGAGAGAGAGAGAGACAGAGAGAGGAAGAGGGAAAGAGAGAGAGAGATAGAGAGAGAGAGAGAGGAAGATGGAAGATGGAGACAAACAGAAGGCGAGAGAGAGAAAGAGAGACAGAGAGAGGAAGAGGGAGAGGAGAGAGAGAGCGTTGTAAATGGTGAGCAGCGGGGTGTTTCAGAGTGGTTTCAGACCTCTTTTTGTCCGTAGGCTACCTCAGCTTTGGAGAAAAAACAGGAAAGAACGGGAAAAGAAAGAATAGAAGGGAGAAAGAGACAGAGAGAAAGAAGAAGTCTTGAGACGGTGAGCAGGAAGATGTGTCGAACTGGTTTCAGACCTCTTTTGGGGCCGGTTATGGGGCTACCTAGTTCTTAAGACATCCAAAAGAAGGGACTCAAAACAGATTGTACTTGAAACACATGCGGTCCGGAAAGACGTGCAACGGTCCGGAAAAGCAAGCACCCAAAACGTAATCTAATCGTAGCGATTGCGGTCCGGAAAGGCATGCAGCGGTCCGGAAAAGCGAGCACCCAAAACGCACTCTAATTGGAGACATTGCGGTCCGGAAAGATGAGCAGCGGTCCGGAAAAGCAAGCACTCAAAAAGTACTCTAATTGTAGACATTGCGGCCCGGAAAGACATGCAGCGGTCCGGAAAAGCAAGCACCCAAAACGTACTCTAATTGTAGACATTGCGGCCCGGAAAGCCATGCAGCGGTCCGGAAAAGCAAGCACCCAAAACGTACTCTAATTGTAGATATCGCGGTCCGGAAAGACCTGCAGCGGTCCGGAAAAGCAAGCACCCAAAACGTACTCTAATTGTAGCCATTGTGGTCCGGAAAGACCTGCAGCGGTCCGGAAAAGCAAGCACCCAAAACGTACTCTAATTGTAGACATTACGGTCCGGAAGACGTGCAGCGGTCCGGAAAAGCAAGCACCTAAAACGTACTCGTATTGTAGACATTACGGTCCGAAAGACATGCAGCGGTCCGGAAAAGCAAGCACCCAAAACGTACTCTAATTGTAGACATTGGGTGCTTGCTTTTCGGACCGCTGCACGGCTTCCGGACCAAATCTACAGTAGAGTATTTTGGGTGCTTGCTTTTCCGGACCGCTGCACGTCTTTCCGGACCGCGATATCTACAATTAGAGTACTTTTTGGGTGCTTGCTTTTCCGGACCGCTACAGGTCTTTCTGGACCACAATGGCTACAATTAGAGTACGTTTTGGGTGCTTGCTTTTCCGGACCGCTGCATGTCTTTCCGGACCGTATAATGTCTACAATTAGAGTACGTTTTGGGTGCTTGCGTTTCCGGACCGCTGCACGTCTTTCCGGACCACAATATCTACAATTAGAGTACTTTTTGGGTGCTTGCTTTTCCGGACCGCTGCAGGTCTTTCCGGACCACAATGGCTACAATTAGAATACTTTTTGGGTGCCTCCTTTTCCGGACCATGCAGGTCTTTCCGGACCACAATGGCTACAATTAGAGTACGTTTTGGGTGCTTGCTTTTCCGGACCGCTGCAGGTCTTTCCGGACCACAATGGCTACAATTAGAGTACGGTTTGGGTGCTTGCTTTTCCGGACCGCTGCATGTCTTTCCGGGCCGCAATGTCTACAATTAGAGTGCGTTTTGAGTGCTCGCTTTTCCGGACCGCTGCTCATCTTTCCGGACCGCAATCGCTTCGATTAGAGTACGTTTTGGGTGCTTGCTTTTCCGGACCGTTGCACGTCTTTCCGGACCGCATGTGTTTCAAGTACAATCTGTTTTGAGCCCCTTCTTTTGGATGTCTTAAGAACTAGGTAGCCCCATAACCGGCCCCAAAAGAGGTCTGAAACCAGTTCGACACATCTTCCTGCTCACCGTCTCAAGACTTCTCTTCTTTCTCTCTGTCTCTTTCTCCCTTCTCTTCTTTCTTTTCCCGTTCTTTCCTGTTTTTTCTCCAAAGCTGAGGTAGCCTACCGACAAAAAGAGGTCTGAAACCACTCTGAAACACCCCGCTGCTCACCATTTACAACGCTCTCTCTCTCTCCTCTTTCTCTTCCTCTCTCTGTCTCTCTCTCTCTCTCGCCTTCTGTTTGTCTCCATCTTCCATCTTCCTCTCTCCCTCTCTCTCTCTCTATCTCTCTCTCTCTCTCTCTCTCTTTCCCTCTTCCTCTCTCTGTCTCTCTCTCTCTCTCTCTTTCTCTACCTTTTCTCTTTCTTTTTTCATCTCCCAAAGCTGGGGGTACCCAAAAAACAAGCCCAAAAGAGGTCTGAAACCACTCTGAAACACCTTCCTGCTCACCATCTCCGGGCTGCTGCTGCATGTCTTCCGGACCGCGTTGGCTGCTTTATCTCTATCTATTTATCTATCTATCTATCTATCTGCTCTTTAAATGTATTTCCTTGTATGTTGTGTTCAAGTCTTTTCTGTCTGTAAATTGTTCTTTTCATCAAGGTCAGCTAGACCCCCCGAGTACTACTGTGTACTACAAAGCTCGCACAAACACGTTCCCAGTACTACTGTATACTACAAAGCTTGCACAAAGTACTTCCCAGTACTACTGTGTACTACAAAGCTCGCACAAACTACTTCCCAGTACTATTGTGTACTACAAAGCTTGCACAAAGCACTTCCCAGTACTACTGTGTACTACAAAGCTTGCACAAAGCACTTCCCAGTACTACTTTGTACTACAAAGCTTGGACAAAACACTTCCCAGTACTACTTTGTACTACAAAGCTTGCACAAAGCACTTCCCAGTACTACTTTGTACTACAAAGCTTGGACAAAACACTTCCCAGTACTGCTTTGTACTACAAAGCTTGCACAAACTACTTCCCGGGACTACTTTGTATTACAAAGCTTGCACAAAATACTTCCCAGTACTACTTTGTACTACAAAGCTTGCACAAAGCACTCCCCGGAACTACTTTGTACTACAAAGCTTGCACAAAGCACTTCCCAGTACTACTTTGTACTACAAAGCTTGCACAAACTACTTCCCAGTACTACTGTGTACTACAAAGCTTGCACAAACTACTTCCCAGTACTACTTTGCACTACAAAGCTTGCACAAACCACTTCCCAGTACTACTTTGCACTACAAAGCTTGCACAAACTACTTCCCAGTACTACTTTGTACTACAAACTACTTCCCAGTACTACTGTGTACTACAAAGCTTGCACAAACTACTTCCCAGTACTACTTTGCACTACAAAGCTTGCACAAACCACTTCCCAGTACTACTGTGTACTACAACGCTTGCACAAAGCACTTGCAAACAATGCGAAGGTATGAATGCGACATGTCTCCGTTCTTGTCGTGTTCCTTTTGTTTCCCTAGCATTTCCTTGTATGTTGTGTTCAAGTCTTTTCTGTCTGTAAATTGTTCTTTTCATCAAGGTCAGCTAGACCCCCCGAAGAGGTCTGAAACCACTCTGAAACCGCTCTGAAACCACAGAAGTGAAACCACAGAAGTTCAACACGTGCAGAGCTACTTCCCAGTACTACTTCCCAGTACTACTGTGCTACTTCCCAGTACTACTGTGTACTACAAAGCTTGCACAAAGCACTTCCCAGTACTACTGTGTACTACAAAGCTTGCACAAAGCACTTCCCAGTACTACTGTGTACTACAAAGCTTGCACAAAGCACTTCCCAGTACTACTGTGTACTACAAAGCTCGCACAAACACGTTCCAGTACTAATGTGTACTAGAAAGCTCGCACAAACTACTTCCCAGTACTACTGTGTACTACAAAGCTTGCACAAACCACTTCCCAGTACTACTGTGTGCTTGCACTACAAAGCTTGCACAAAGCACTTCCCAGTACTACTGTGTACTACAAAGCTTGCACAAACTACTTCCCAGTACTCCTGTGTACTACAAAGCTTGCACAAACTACTTCCCAGTACTACTTTGCACTACAAAGCTTGCACAAACCACTTCCCAGTACTACTGTGTACTACAAAGCTTGCACAAACCACTTCCCAGTACTACTGTGTACTACAAAGCTTGCACAAAGCACTTCCCAGTACTTCCGTGTACTACAAAGCTTGCACAAAGCACTTCCCAGTACTACTTACTACAAAGCTTGCACAAACTACTTCCCAGTACTACTGTGTACTACAAAGCTTGCACAAACTACTTCCCAGTACTACTTTGTACTACAAAGCTTGCACAAACTACAAAGCTACAAAGCTTGCACAAACTACTTCCCAGTACGAAATACTAAGTGAATACTGAATATTTAACATTCAAAAACAAGTACGAGAATAATGATGAAAGGCAACTGAAATGATGAAAGTGATCCGGGAGTGTGGTCGCGCAAGAAACGCGCAAGGTTGGCGCAAGCTCGGCCCAAGAGGCCTTTGTGGGAACAGTAATTTAGGACAACCCCCATATATATATAAACATAAATGATCATATATATATATATATATAAATGTATATATATATATGTATATATATATATGTGTGTACATAGCAGATAAAAGCATGGCTGGAATGATGACAAATGTTGCTCATCCACCTCAGGTACCTCCGAGCTTGGCTGGCGTTTCTTCACTGCTTGCGGCTTGGAGCGGAATGTGCACTGGTGGCGCTATGACTTTGACACATGGCATGGTGCGCAGGGGAGACCTGTCGCTGGGGAGGTGAAAGAAATCGTTGTTTTGGTCTCTGGCACCCACTGGTTCTGAAGGTTGTTTCCTGGCACGCCTACTTGTAGTTAGAAATCTCACACCCTTGTATCAATTGCAGGGGTTGTATCAGTGTGCTTTTCATTTTGCAGCCTTTTTCCAATTCTACATGTTTCTTCCTGCCTGATGTTTTAGTCTTGTGGTCTCAAGTGGCTTGAGTGTTTCGCCTGGATTCTTCAGATCAAGCGTTTGCTTGAACAACCACGTGAGCATGGTTGCTGCCACCTAGATAGCTGAATCGGAACAAGGGGGTGGAAATAGATTTACATTTTTTTTCCAGTTTCCCCCGCTTCACCACGGGAGCAATCCTAAGATCTGTAGCTGAACTCCCAATGTTTCACCATGTTTGGTGGTTAAATCATGTTAAATCCCCATTTTTGTTGGTTAACTCACCATTAGTTCCGTTGTTGGCATCCCTATTTATCCCCCGTGTTTCAAGGGTGGATCCACGTCCCAGGAAGCCTTAGCCCTGCCCAGTCTGACCGCCCTTGGAGCCGACGCCCGGCGCATCCTGGTGCTGGGCGGAGTCTCCGGTGGCATCTTGGCAAAGGTACCCTTTGGTAAACTAACATGGCTATGGATCAATACCTATCAATACCATTTTTAGGGGGATGAACATCCATAAATCCCAGTTATTTTGATGTGAACTACAGGGGTACAAAATATCCCATAGGATCCATGGTGCTGCCATATATGGTAACATTTACCATTAATATACCCCCTTTATGTTAGCATATATACCATACATGGATCCTATGGGCTATGAAAGATCCACCATATTTAATGGGCAAATCAACATAAATCAACTATTTCTATGGCCATTTTCAATAGCAGTGTTAAATTACCAGAGGGTACCCCTGGTTAGTGAGTCCGGGGCTTATAGACGCTTAGAGCATAACTGGGAAAACATGAGAATAACACAGTAATAATACATGAAAAGACATGACCCATGTGAAAAAAATGTGTTTGTCGATTATGATGTCTGACAATCATGAATCACCAATTTTGAAAATTTGGAGGTTTATAACACCCATTTCGGGTGCAATTGGGATGGTTTACTGATGGGTTCATCACATCAACGGCTGATAGTTTTGGGAGAATGAGAGACCTTGCATGGTGTATGCCATGCACTTAGGATCATTTGTTGATGGGGGTTGCAGCGCTATTTTACTTGCCCTTACCTAGGGACCCTTTAGGGTACCTGGTTTTTTTTTATAGTAAAGGCACCTTGGCCGAAGCCATTGGGGAAACTCCTGGGCCAGCTATTCCCATGTCGATGTCTACTTTCTTTATCGGTTTGGGAGGTTCCCAGCGCCATAGTTTTGCATTGAGTTGGCCATTCTGTTTTTTTTTAATCCCGGGGGTCCCTGCATCCAAATTTCCATGAACCAGCACCCTGTTTTTTTTTTTATCCCGGGGGTCCCTGCATCCAAATTTCCATGAACCAGCACCCTGTTTTTTTTTTTTAAATCCCGGGGGTCCCTGCATCCAAATTTCCATGAACCAGCACCCTGGTGGGTTTCCATCCCAAGTTATACTGTACCCGTGCCTAGGTGGAGTGATCAACTCGTTCCTTCAGAGCAGCGATGTGGAAGAAGTGCTGTGGGTTAGTGAGATGAGAAGCACCTTGGCAACAACGATGCAGTGGTGACCACCGCCCTTTGGATTGCTCTGGGTAGTTGAAAATAGGTAGCGTGGTGATGATGGTGATGGTCATGGTCATGGTGATGATGGTGATGATGGTGATGGTCATGGTGGTGATGGTGATGGTGATGATGGTGATGATGATGATGGTGATGATGATGATGATGATGACGACGATGATGATGATGATGATGATGATCCCTGCATGTTAGCTTCAGAAGCCCTTTTATGCAGCAAGATGTTCAGGGTTTGAACCCGTAAAGACTACAGTATAGTTCCGGATCTACAATCTCATAAAATTCCTGTTGGGTTTGCTTTGAACTTGGCTGCACCTTTTTGCTCATGCAAGCAGCCGCGGCTCAGCCGAAGCTTGCGTCAGCAAATGTGTTTGGCTTTTTTGCCTTCGTTGTTCAGTCCAAAGCAGGGCTCCTGCGTGATTACATCAGTAAAGTCAGGCATTCCGCACATGTAGTGTAGTGCGGACTCTTGGAATAAGATGTCAATGAAAGACATGTAAGTGTTGCATAGTGTTGCCGTTTAAATCATTTAGTGCCATTCTGGTTTATCTGGAACATTGTTACCTGGGACATCAATTGTTTGGAGCTGTAGAGCTTCCTTTTCTGTTGCCCAGTAGTCTCATCCCATATTGGATTGTCTCGACATAATGGAAATCCAATATCCCGTTGATGCTGATTTTCTCCGATATATTTCCCCTAGAATGACAAATCAAGTGACATATGTTACATATATAATATGGTTTATATATATATATATGATTATTATCTAAATGACATCAGTTTCGTCCGGCCATAAAACCACGATGGTATCAGTAGAGGCAAAAGGCACACGGCGGCAGCATGCGGCAGCATACAGCAACACTTCAAGGCCACACTCCCAATAGGGTATCCCCATCTTTCTTGGCAAAGCTGCAGCATCCTTTGGTTTTCCCAGCAATGTCTGTGGCTCAGCGTTTGGTCTTTGCTGCCCCAGCAGTGGGCGCAGCCGCTCTTGCGATGAAGGCTCGGTTTGTAACGCCCCAGGAACACTCAGGTTTTCTGGCCATGTGGTGCCTGGGGCCCGGCGAATGTTTGAGGACCATCCCCTGGAGGTTGCAGATTTTCTGGAAGTTGTGGCCAGTACAGCGGCACATTCAGACACTGACAGCTGAAGAATTGAAAAAACAGTGGCAGCCAAGGGCTGATGATGTCGTTGTGGCTGTCCCAGCCAAAAGTGGCACCACCATGCTGTTGCAGGCAGCTCATCAGTTGCGGGTGGCTGGTGCTTGGGGCCACGATGACGACTTCGAGGATCAAATGGACGTAATTCCTATGCTGGAGGGAGGGCCTGCCTCGTTACTGCCAAGCAACTGCATCAATCAGGAACAGCTGGCACAGCCACGAATCTACAAATCACATTTGAAGTGCAGGGCATTTGAAAACATCAAGGTGAAACGGATTTATTGCTTCCGCAGTTTGAAGGATGTGCTTGTGAGCGATTGGAACTTCACAGCTTCTATTTTGGAATCAGAGGTGCCTCTTGAGACCTTCGCTGTGATGCGGATTTTACCCGGAGGTATCGATCGGGCCTTAAATGATCTGTGCGATTGGTGGGAACATCGCCATGACCCGGGCGTTTGCCTTTTCTTCTTTGACGATGTTTTGGAAGACCGGTTGGCAACTGTGGAAAGGCTGCAGGAATTTATGGAACTGAAAAGAGATAAAGATATTGCGAAAGTTGTGGCCGAGCAGTGTAGTCACAGTTTCATGTCTGAAAATCACAGCAAGTTTGATGACCACAAGATCATTGAAGCCTTAGATCGCTTCACAGGCATCAACCGAACCAGTACTTTGGTGGGCAAGGTGCGTAAAGGTGGTGGAAAGTCTGGTGAAGGGGCAGTGCTGCCCTTGCCGGTGAAGCTATGGATCGATTGGAGGTGGGAACACATCGTTCGCAGGCGCCTTGGCTTTGGCACTTTGGAGGAGATGCGGGCAGTCTGGGCTGCTGAGCATGCTGAGCGCCAGAAAAGGTGACCAATAGTTAGCCAGCTGCAATAAACGATGTCGAGTTAAAGTTTCAGTCGTAATTTTCGGGGAAATTGCCCACCTGTTTGTGATTTGTGTCGCAGATTGCTGCAGATTTGGATGTTGGCTGAACATATCTCAATAGATCTTAGCAGCTTTAAACGTTTGCCTCGCGGCCCCGGAGCTTGCTACCCCCAGGTGTCATCAAAGCTGCTGCGCGCTGCGTGCCATCGCTCAGTTGGTTGGCTCGTCCTGAGCCCAGGCTTCGAGTGACTCGGCAGGGCGAATGCTCCAAGGGGTTGAGAAGAAAAAGGTCATCAATGTACAATGATCTATCTATCTAATTTCGATCTATCTGTCTGTCTGGCTATCTATCTATCTATTTGTCTGTCTATCTATTTATGTATGTCTATCTATCATCTATCTATCTACCTATCTGTCTATCTATCTATCTACCTATCTGTCTATCTATCTATCTATCTATCTATTTGTCTATCTATCTATCTATCCATCCATCTATCTATCGATCTATCCATCCATCCATCCATCCATCTATCCATCTATATATTTATCTTTCTTTCTGTCTATCTATATATAGCTATCTTTCTATCTATCTGTCTGTCCGTCTATCTATCTATCTACCTATCTATCTTTCGATCTATCTACCTTTCTATCTATCTGTCTGTCTGCCTGCCCGCCTGCCTGTCTGTCTCTATCTACCTACCTACCTGCCTACCTACCTACCTATCTACCTATCTACCTATCTGCCTATTTGCCTATCTGCCTATGTGCCTATCTGCCTATCTATCTACCTATCTACCTATCTACCTACCTACCTAGCTATCTATCCATCCATCCATCCATCTATGTACTATGTGAGGGGTTGACCCGATAATACCAAGCACCTCCCATTCAAGAATTCATAATTCAGGTTAGATAATTCCATTGAAGTTTCAAAAACAGTTGACTCACTGAGCCTGTGGTGTTCCAAAAGCATCGTGGCATCTTGTGGCCTGGTCATCAGGTGGTGCACCTTGACACCCAGGAGTTCTTGCGCTCGGCAGCTGTCAATGCTGGATACTTTGACATCGTGGTTCAGGCATATCAGGGCGGGAGAGCGGTGCAGAGCTTGAAACATTGCGCACGGAGGGAAACCATGGGAAACCATTGAAAACCACACCGCGAAGAAGCCATTTATATGCGTGACACGTCCCTGATGTTTGTTTCGTTCATGAAACTTGCTCTGGCGTCAACACAGCGCTCATCCTGTTGCCCCTCACCGGAGATGCCAGGACACCCTGTCCCTCTACAGAGACGAGAAGCGCGAGCGCTCCCATTGGAGCGATGTCACTGACTACTTCGCAGCATCGCGCCTGGAGGCGCCATTTGATGTTTAGGTAAAGCGATCCTTAAAATATCCTGAACATTCCTGAAATGAAAAAGGATATTGCATGGTAAATAGCATCATCGAATGAAGAGGAACGGAGGCAAACATGTTGACACTTCACATCAACAATTTGGAGAAAGAACACAGTATGACATATAGCCAAGAATTTGAGTGATGCAATTGACGCGATTCATCGGTGAAGAGGATATAGCCAGCAAAAATCAGAAGAACGTTGGAGGACCTCCCATCTCTAGATGATCTCAATTGACCTGGGCCTGGACCCGGTTGTCTGGAAATATACGTGGAAAGGCTTATATAAAGAATTGAGTTGAAATATCATCAAAGATATCAAAGATCCATTCAAATATCCATCCAAACTCCAAACATCCATCAAACAATATCAAAGACTCCTCAGACAAGGAAATGATCATGAATGGATTCCTCAGATACCTTCATTAATCATACCATTTTGATCCATTTTGGGGATATCTCATTAGTCATCCATTTTTTTGATCAACCTGTAGAGTCACATTCAGCAGGTCACCATCTTGCAGGTCATTCAGCAGCTGCTCTCCCCAAGAGGTCTGCTCGTGGCTTGCAGCACTCGGTTGACGAGGATGGGCATGGAATATAATGGAATGGTGGCGGCAGACTGAAAACTCAGGACCTAAGAGAACCACAGTATTTTTCTTGAACATTGGAGAATGATTGATGACTCATGGGTACGGTATAAATGGATATGTATGGAGCACAATTAGGTCTCCCCAAAATGGGACGATTCACATTAAAAATAACTAAGATAACCCAAAGCTGTGGTCCTATGGAATTTGATTTTCGTCCCATCACATGGGGTTGCTACCCTCTGGTAAACTAACATAGCTATGGAAAATGGCCATTTATAGTGGATTTTCCCATTGAAAATGGTGATTTTCCATAGCTATGTTAGTTTACCAGAGGGTATATCAGTTTCTCCACTGGAATGCGACGAAAATCTTTAGATGTCCCACGTGATGGACAGCTTAAAGCATGCCGAGCACACCTGGCGGGCTCAGGTTGCCACAGCGGGATACCTGACAACCCCAAGATCCTGGGCAACAAGTGCTACCATCCATGATAATCCATGATATATGTAGCAGCTGATTCTTGATTGGCCAAGAAGTGAAGTGTTGAACTTATGTATATATTATATATATATTATATATATAGGTATATAAGTTTATGGTATAATAATAATATATATATATTATATATATACAATATACAGACTGTAAAGATCTGTAAAGTTATATCTTTTGCATCCTTCAACCCCCCAGAAGATTGGGGGGCACCCAGCTTCTCTACCTATGGGTCATGTGCTTTCCTTCTCCCCGCCCTGATGTCTCAGGATCCCTTCGTGTTGCCTATGACGCCTTGGCTCCTTATTTCAAGCTCCGTTCCTGGGACCTGGGCGCTGGTGTGGCCATAGGTCAAAGGCAAAAGTTCAAGGAGTGAGCAGGAAGATTTTTGGCGAGGTTGATTTTAGATGATTTTAGTCATATTTGTCGGATGGTTTGGACATGTTTGCCAGAAATAAGCTTGGTTTCTGTGCTTCAGGTCAACCTTTGCAGTTCGCTGCCCCAGATACGGCGCATGCCACGGGGGTTACCATTGCCTTCATTGCCGGTGGGGACGAGGGCACCACGCAGATGAATCAAAGCCTCTTGGATTCTGAGCTGTTGGACTTTGCTGATTGGTGGGGGTTGGGCATGGTTGGGCGATGTGGACCTTTTCTTGGGCAGTGAAAACCCCCATGTTGGCGTGATCTTAGCATCCCAACTGGCAACTGGTCCCCTTCGGCCCGCTTGGGCTTTGGGGTTCTGAGGCTGGTGGCGTGCCCAAAGTATTGAGACTTGTTTCTACACTGAGGACAGTACAGGTACTTGATTTCAACAAAGCACCGTTGATATTCTTTGACAATATCATGCTAATATGCACGAGCTCTCCATATATTCTGTATTGTTGATTGTTGATATTAGCCTGCCATGGTCAGCACCTGAGTTCAGCACCATGGTACCGGCTCAACATGAGGCTGGTATGGGCCAGGTCAACTCAACATGAACAGGCTAGCGAAGAAATTGGATGGCTAGCGAATGGTTACTAAATGGATGTGAGTAATTCTTTAAGTGATTCTAATGAGTAATTATAACCCAGCAAAACAATATTTATACATAAATCACCAGCCAACCCCAGTTATAAGGGACTACCAACTAGTGAACTAACCATGACCCATCTATCCCATGCCTCCAACTCTGCGGCGGACTGCGAGGAGATGCACGCAGCTTTGCTGGCGCCTAGCAAGACCTTGATGAAGGCGCAGCAGCAATCCTGGAGCATGTGATTATATAACGTACACATGGATATGGCTGTGTATGAAAATTAAAAAGCGGTTAAACAAATGCCATTTAGATGGGAATGATTTCTAATACGTTCCAATGAAATTGTAGAATCTATCAGACAAAGCCATATATTTCTTGAAGCATCGGCGCCTCGCAGATCCTTGGTTTGGGATCAGCGCCGCCCAATGTGAATGACCTGCCACGGTGCACCTGTGCCTATGAGGCAGCGATTTTGTGGCGACGCCAAGATATTTTAGCGCAATTTCTCAGGTTTTAAGCCCTCTTTGAAGGAAACATGCATGATCTATACTATACATGTTTGAATGCCCTGGTTATGCTGAATGAAGGGAAATTGAGATGGAAACATGCCTTGGTGCTCTGTCTTGTGACCTAAGCTATTGTAATGCATCCAGTGCACAGGACGCGTGGAACAAGGAAGGGCTCCTATTTGCCCGACAGAGCAAGTTCCAAAAGCTGAAAGTGAAGAATGAGAAACCATCTGAAGATAGCAGTGGATGTACCGCTTTATTCTTAGACGCTTGCTTTGGATTTGGCGAGCAGGCTGACGCATGTTGTACCTGGGGGTTCATAGGAAGTATGCGGCGCAGTTGCATTTTTTTCCCATGAGCAGCAGTCCATGGAGGAATTCCATCTGCTTTGAAGAGTTTTGAAGGCCAGCCCATCACTTCCAAAAAGTATGCAGGTCATTGCAGGTCCCTAATATTCCAAGGATCAGTCCTGGGTATTCCTGGGCCCTGTCGCACATGCGGACCCTGATAAAATTCGAATCAAAATTGTTTGTATGTGTCGTATTCTTCACAACGTGGATGGATTGACAAAATTGATGAATGGGTTGATGCTGGATGAATTAGTGGATGAATCAATAGATGGACTGATGATACTGACGGATGGATTCATGGATGAATTGATGATGAGCGGATTATAGTGAAATCATCGAACCGAGCGCGATTGATGGATTCTAGATTCTAGGTTTCAACGATAAAATGAACATAGTTTGGTATCCTTAATTCTAGGATTCTATAGATTCACTATCTGGATACCTTAAATATCTTTAAATCCACAGGACTTTTTGGATACTTTGGGAGCCCCTTTTTTTCCGTGGCCCAAGGATGATGAGCTTCAAGAGACTGATGTCTATGGGGATTTCTACCACGAGGCCGACCTGCTGATCCCATTTGGATGGCAAAAAATCCAAAAAAAAATCGAAAAATGATGAGAAAATATGGCAAGTTGATGCAAGTTGATCTTGTACCATCAGTTTTAATCCATGTTATACTCTCTGGTAAACTAACATAGCTATTGAAAATGGCCATTTATAGTGGATTTTCCCATAAAAAATGGTGATTTTCCATAGCTATGTTAGTCATTACCAGAGGGTATACCATTTATACCACTCTAGTATGCCTGCTCACTAGGTCCGGATCACTGCAATACGATCCATTCCCGTTTTTTGAGTCATACCCAAAGTTTGATACCTTGCCCTTTTCTTGGCACAGATTCTGCGGATTCTGCTGTTTGAGTTGTCATGTTTTCGCAATTCTTTGTCCTACCATTTCAACTCCTATTTGCTCGCTTCTTCTTGCAAACATGCCCCAGAGTCAAAAGGTGATGCATTCAAAGTTACCATTGGCAACTGACGTGTGTCCAAAAACACCAACAAACACCAGAAGTCACGAGCGAATGCCACTAGCTAATGTCACAGGCTATGGTGCATGTGGCCATGGCCCAATTGGGACCAAATGCACAGCGGGTGCTGTTGCTGGGAGGCCGCCACCGCAAGGGTTTAAGGTGCATCTTTGTGGCCGAACTTGAGATACTTGAGGATTTGTGGAGCTCAGTGATAAGTCTAGTTCTCGTCATGGTTCAGATACTTTTGAACAATTTGGCAATTTGGCACGTTTCTGAACATGTTTTAATGTTTGTCTATTTTTCTCGCCCTACTTCACAAGCTTTCGGCTTTGGGACCCAAGCCACATGATTTGTCTTGAAGCTGTGGACAATTCTTGCCAGGGAACATCGCACGTTGCTGTTTCATCAGGGCGAAGTCCCGCACTTCATGATGAGTCGGTCTATCTTCAAAGTGGCAGAGGAGTACAAAGATAGATTTTTACCAGCTCGGCCGAACATATTCAGGATCTCAAATGTAGGGTCTGCTTTCATCAGTAAGCGAGGATGTCATATTTTTCTACTGCTCCCCTTTTTATCAATTGACCTACTTGGATCTACTTGGTGGCTCAGCCTAGTGAGTGGCTTAGAAGTTCTGTTAGAAGTCATTACATCTTGTTATAACCCCAGTATCAGTAAATACGGATGGTTGCGAAATCCTGCACCAGTTGACAAGTGGTTTATCCTATCTGCTTGGTGGTTTGGAACATTGTTAATTTGTCCATATGCTGGGAATAATTAATCATCCCAACTGACGAACTTATATTTTTCAGAGGGGCTGAAACCACCAACCAGCTATAATATATATATATCATGGTTTCTATTCAATGTTCCATCTTCTTCTCTCAGCACTCTAATGGGTTCCATTTGCACACCAGATCGACCCGTTTGTCCCTCCAAGAATCGAGGCTCTTTATGGATCACTTCAACTTCAAATTCTACCATGTCTTCTTTTTATTTCTTTTAAACAGTTTATCATGGTTTATCCATGTTCCATGTTTATCCCATTATTTATATCATAGAATTGGATGATGGGAAAATTTTAACCGGAAAGCCCTATATTTGATGGTAAAAACCATGGTTTCCGGTTAAGATTTTCCCTTAAACCAATCCAATGATTATAGGGTTCCAACCATCCAAGGTGCAGGATTTCGCTGGCCCATCCACAACAAAAAAAAACAACGGCGAACGCCACGTTTCGGCAGAGGTGGCGATGGCGGTGCCGCCAGCCTGGCGTTGAAGTACCCGGAGGTTGAAGTGCTGCAGGTTGGGCTGGGGGTGGGGGTGGAATGGATACCATCTGGTAAACATACAAAAAGCTATGGAAAATGGCCATTTATAGTGGGATTTACCCATTTATAGTGCATTTATAGTGGAAAATGACCATTTATAGTGAACATAGCTATGGAACATGGCCATAGAAATAGTGGATTTACCCATTGAAACATGGTGATTCTCCATAGTTATAATCTGGTTGGTGGTTTGGAACATGAATTTTATGATTTTCCATATGTTGGGAATAGTAACCCCAACTGACGAACTCCATCATTTTTCAGAGGGGTAGGGCTCAAACCACCAACCAGTACTTTGAATAGCATAGCAGAGCGGATGGCCATGTCTGATATAGGTTTCAATAGCTATGCCAAGAGATAAAAAGTGATGGACCCTGAAGTAGATGTTTATAGAATTATCAATTATGCAATGCATGGCAAATCATGGCAATTTTCTTCAAGGTGGTTAAGTGTGTACATGGAAATTGGAGACCTGGGTCGGTGCTGTTTGCGGTGGACATCATCGACTTTCATGGCCATTGGGAAAAACTTCAGCCTCAGGTGGAAATCGATGAGATGGTCATTGAAACGTCTCAGCGCTTTTTCCAGAGCTTTTCCTCTGCTTTTGGGTAGCTTGGACTGCCGGCTGGTGAGCTGCAAAGTTGAAGGATGTGAAGGATGTGAAGGTAAACGTAGTTGAAACGAGGAAGCTTGACCATAAACTCATAAACTCTACCTGTGCCAGACATCACTAGACCACACCTCAGCACCCACAAGATCTTGTTGCTGGAAAGCTCTCTATGGCGGGTTCCGTCCCAGTTCAAACCAGCTCAGGAACTAGTCCCTTTTGTGACTTGACAGCTTTTAAATCGGTGACCAATGGTACAATGTAACAAATGTAACAGTGGACTCAGAGAACCATCGAGAAGCACTGGGACTTCAGGCACCCTCGTCACAAGCTGATAGTGGCTGATGCAGTACGTTGGGTGGAGCAAAATTGGCGAGAAATGCCACTGGTCCTCAGTCGGGGATTGAAGGGGTAGGTGGGGGATGGCTCAGAGATGAGATAGCAGGATACATGATAATTAGTTGATAATAGTTATATTATGTGTATATATATATATATATATGCTCTGCAACGCTAGACAATTGTCTTGAAGGGACAATCCTGATCTTGTCCTGACCTTTTAGTCTTGGTGGTGACATCTATATGTTCCAATATCTTCCAGGTTGGGCCATCAAATATCCGGCTTTTGCCTTGCAAGTAAAGAAACAAATTATGTTTAGTACGATGATAAGGTAAAGTCGGTACTACGTGGGTTTGAAACAGCTGGGGATGTGCGATTCAGTGGTCACCGGGTGAAGCGAGAGTCAGCGAGAGGCAACAGACCTTTGACCTTTGCATTATCGACTCCACTGATGAGCCCTTGGCATCCTGGCACTTCTTGGCACATCTTGGTCTGGAAATCTAGGGTGATGGTGAGAGGGTGGCGCTCAGGTCGTATCTCTATCAGGGTTACTGTTGACAGCACGAAATATGTGCCCTCACGGTTGTTGATGTCATCTAGATTTCGAATGGATGAGGTATTGTGTTCAAGCTAAGTATGAGATGAACACTGCAAACTACAGGATTGAGAGCTTGCTTTGGTTGTCTTTACAGCAGCAGATGCCACGATTCTATACGATTGCTAATTTTTCCAAAACCTCGCACTACTTGATTTGTGGCCCTTTCCTGTGGAACGGGCGTTTTTGTCGGCCACTGTCCTTCAAAACCTCAAGGCCAGCGTATGGAGCGGCAAGTTTTACAAGCACTTAAAATCAATGCTTAAAGCCCATGGCGCCGTGGTACAGCAACTTGGTGGCAGTCACAGTGCAATGTGCCCAAGGTTTCACATGTCACAGTCTTAGCTAAAAACTCTTTAATTACAGAAGTTAAGCGCGGTTAATGGTTTAACTATGGTTTATATAACTATGGTTTAGTGGTGTTTAGCCAACATCAACTTAAATGTTAAACAAATTCTTCAAGAACTGCTTGCCAATCAACATCACTGAGTTCCCTTAGGAATGTTGGCAACCAGTTGGACACTCTGGCGGAGTTCCGTGCCTGGCACCTGCCGCTGTTCCGGCAGCGTCGTTTGATCAACTGCCTGACCGCGGGGGCCCGGGACGGCAGAGAAACCTTGTTGGATCGGTATTTTAAGAGCTATACATTGGGGGTTTGAAATAGGCATAATGGGGAATATGATACCATATGATAATCATAATCATAATTATGGGATTATCATGGGATATCATAATTATCATAATCATAATGGGGAATATCACCCGAACAATATGATAATCCAAGTTTTTTTAGCCAACAATATGATTTGTCTGGAAAATACCCGAAGAAATTGCTACAGTATCGAATACGGGAAATCATGATAAACCAGAGGATGGAATGGGATAGGGGTGCCCTACTTTCAGACAAACCGAAATGGATTGACTCGCGCTTTCTTGGGTGGCCACTCTTGATTCATTGAAACAAAACTGGTGTTTCTGATTATATGATATTTTATGTATTATTATGTATTATGTAATATTCTCTATTATTCTAATTCAAACCACTATAGCTTTTAAGAGTTGTTTTTGCTCTTCCCAACTATAGCAGGAATCCAACACTGACAGGACGCCGGACTATGAGTCCCCATACTTCCTGGCGTTTCTGGCAGATGTGGAGATCAATCCGGTGACCAGACGCAACGATAAAAAAATCACCAGGCGTATCACGGTCACGTAAGGGTTGCCCTTTTGGACATGTGCATTGGTTTTTCTATGATTTTTCTCCATCCATTTCCCCTGAACACTTCCCAGATTGAAGTTGGAGCATGACACTGTGCAACTGTCGGAGCGAGTTTGGTGATCACCATGTGTATCCGAGGTGAACTGGACATGGTGGACTTCCTTGAACATCTCCACCATCTACTACCACCCCGGTCTACATGACGCGTTGCTGGCCATTCCGAAGGAAACCATCGATTCTTACGTGGATGGCAAAGACCCTTGATATCCCTTAATGTTTGCTGGTGGGAAATATGGCCAGGGTTCACCGTAGATTGATGGGTATGAATCAGAAAGCTCCAAGGAGTGGGTGCCCCATGATGCCGTGTATTCCAAGCAGCACTTTGGCGCAGCTGTAAGCCAGTCAAGATCACCAAGATCAGGCTTTCATATTGGCTGTGCGTGTTTTCATCGTGCATTGGCTGTGCATCAGTTGGGTAAGCCCCAGCTACAGCACCTGCGCCCTGTGAAGGTGACCTTTGATTTCTTGGACAAGCAGTATGGATATCGTCATCCCGCCCGAGTCGGTATCTCGAATCTCCTGCGGCTGCAGCGCGGATGACCCGCAGATTGTGGACATGGCACACTTCCCGCAGATTGTGGACACGACGAACGCGCTACAGGGATGAGACATTGGAATTGCTTGGATGAGAAAAAGGTCAGGTCACAGTGCTGCATCTCCTGGGTGAGGATGGATGATATGAAAGTGTTCTGACCAAACATGCCGAGGGGGACTCCTGTGGAACATCATGGTGAGTCAGAGTGGAACATCATGGTGAGTCACAGTGCTACTGCTGTCCATAATTTTGATGTTTGAGGACTTGAGGCTTCATTGATTCAGTGAAGGTCCTCCAGTTTTGGGCAAACGCATTCGCAATGCATTTGGAATGGGATATCCTGCTCCATTATTTTCGCCGCCAGTCAATTGATCATCAGGGATCGTCGAAGGGCTTACACTGGCAACATATCTCACACCGCTCATTTATCAGCAAGAGAAAACACCCCCAATCAGAAACCATTTGGAGTTCAGAATAATTCACAATACATCAGGGCTAAAACATAAAATGCTCTATGGAAATATCTTTCACCAGGACCTGTGGGGAAGCAGTTGAAGGTTGGATAGACCATATAGCTCCCATACCTGCGCGCATGGCTAGTTTCAACTGCCTGGTGACGTTGGACATCATTTGACTTAGGTGGCCTACAAGCAAGCTCCACTTCGGTCCAAGTGGTGCGCGGGGGACATGGGGAATACAAACTGACAGGATTGATGGGCAAAAAACATGTTTGTTTCGACATCTACAAATCCAGCTACATCAGCTGATGGACTTGGCATGAGTTGGCCAAAATCAAATGAACATAATGAAACAAGCATCTCGATGATGTCAATTTCAGATGGAGCATGTTATTTATGTTTGAGTTTCCCATTCAAAGCTCCATTTATGGACTAGTTATCGGTGATTTCCAATCAACGCAGCCTGCTTGCAGGCAGATGCTCCATACAAGGAGTCTTGAGCCTAGTTGGGGCCTGGTTTGTTGATCAATGTGTGTACGCGTATACTGTGCATGTGTATATGTGCGTATGTGTTTATAATTGTTTGTATGTGTATATGTGTATGTGTTGACACTAATAGCTGTAACAGCGAGCACAATCTAGAGCACGGTTTTTGGCACGAGGGAGAGCACCAAAAAGCACGATTTTTGGCACGAGGGAGAATGAGAGCACCAAAAAGCACGATTTTGTGCACGAGGGAGAGCACCAAAAAGCACGATCTAGAGCACGATTTTTTGCACGAGTGAAAGCACCGAAAAGCACGATTTTGTGCACGAAGGAAAACACTCAAAACAACGTTCGCCCAAAATATAAAGAAATCATTTTGTTGACTGTTACAGCTATGAGGACGGACTCAATGTATGTGCGCGTACACCGTGTGGATATGAAAGATGCTAACATTGTTCATTGTAGATACAGTAGGTGACACGACAAATCTAGATCAATACACACCAAGTGATCCTGGGAACGCAGGCAATCCAATGAGGCAAACTACCAGGCTGAGAAGCTGGGGGCCCAGAGCAGCACGGGCATGCAGCTGTGGCTATTTTGAGTGTTTCTAATGGGGAAAATATGATAAAATAATACAAAATATGGCATTTCCAATGGAGAGAACGAATGAAGATGATGATTGATCGTTTTTTGTACCCTATTTTCAGACAAACCGAACCCTATTCAGAGGGAGAGGTTGGAAACAATGGGATTATCGTGCTAGCTGCTAGACTGTCACTATGCTAGACTGCTAGATTGATTGCGCTGTCCTTTTGCAATAATGTCAATAGGTCGGATTGAACTGTGGGAAGTGGGAACATCATGTTCCCTGTGCATTCCAGCAACGTCAGCATTGGGATAGATGGAGATGGTTGGACTGGTACAATCTGACGAGGCAAATAGAGAGATATAGAGAGCTCCGGTTCGTTGACAAACTCAAATCTGGTCCTTCTAAGGGCACTGCATGAAGGAGTGTTTTTTTCTTTTGTATGTCAGCATCCAACTTGGGCACACCAGCACGCCTTGGTCTCCCCTTCCAAAATGGACCAGACATTTGGCTGCCGCATCATCTTGTGAGTGAAATTTGCATCCTGCCAAGTTCTTTTGCTCCCGGCCCGCTTGCGAGAGAGTCCGCATTTGAAATGATCGCCATCATTTGCTAATCATTTGTTACTTTCATTTTTTGGGCACGTTCAGGCTGCTTCCAGTGTGGCCCTTTTTTTGTGTAAACTAAACCACCGGAACGCGCAACCATCGTGCGTTGGTGACATTTGCTAAACATGGCGGATTCTTGGTTGCAATGCTGGATTTTCATGACATGCTTTCCACTTCCTGGGGGCAAGTACTGTTTAGCAGCATGTTTAGGTGATATGCATTGAAATACGAAAACACATGCGTACTGGTACGTTAAAAAAAACAACAGTTTGATCGATTTGCCATTACTTTCCCACAGGTTCCCGCAAACAAGCCATGCAAACTGTTTTCTTGACATACATAGTCTTGTGCAAATTAAAGATGAGTGAACTGCACCCCACCAGAATTGCCAGCGCATCTCTCTACCTACAATTCAACATCATTAGTCACAGTAGTAGCTCATTTGGCATGGATTATGCCATTGCATACCTCCAGAGTTCAACACATTTGAGGTGTATTGCTACAGCTTGCTTTTGGTATGGCTTGCAATATACTGAAAGTGCCAATCCACTTGCAGTACTATCCAGAGTTGGGATGAATCATTCAGCAGACGAAGAATGATGGATGAATGATGGATGATTATGATTCATGATTGATTACGAATGATTAATGATGAATCATGACTGTGCAACTTATTACCAGCACGAACATTTCCCATGATTTTCCAAGCTCATTGATGTGTCCTTTATGACCTAAGGACTATGACAAGATCCCAGTGGCCGTGGTGGGCACTTCCCGGGAGGCGATGTTGATCAGGGAGATCGAGGACCATTTTTGCTGGTTCCGCCGCCGGCTGAGTTATAAAACAATGGGTTTATCTTTAAAAAAATGGCGTAGCCTCTGGTAAACATACAAAAAGCTATTGAAAATGGCCATAGAAATAGTGAGTTTTCCCATTAAAAATGGTGATTTTCCATAGTTATGTTAGTTTACCAGAGGGTACCTCCAATTCGAATGGATTGATCATCATAGTCCCCATGAACTGGCAGGATGATTTTGGGTATACCCCAGCCATCTCCAGCCCACGGTAAATAGAAAGGTAAATGCTAGCCACAAGGGGGAAAGGTAAAACCACTTTACGACTATATTTGGCCGAGTTACCCCCTTGTACCGGGGGGTGTTGGGAGCAACCCTGGTTGGGGATGAACGGGTTCAGCAGCCATTCAGCAGCCATTCAGATACATATGGGATGCTTTATGCAACAAAAATGGAGGTTTAATCAGCATCAACAGTGCGAGAACTGGAGATGTGTTTCAACAAATATGATGAAGTGATGGTGTGCGAATATAAGAAGCAAACGCGGGGGAAAGACAGGAATCGAATCAAGTCTCAACAAAATAGTTGGAAATGAACCCGACAAGAATGGGTGCGAAAGCCAAAAATCATAACCTGCAGTAACTTCGAAGCCTTTTTCTTGCAGAAATGGGTCACAACTGCGATTTCTAGTCCAAAATCATCAATCATCTCTGGTTCCATCCGTTCCCAACGGGACACTTCTGCTGAACGGCCACCGACTCGTTGCCCTTGGCCCGGTGAGGATGGACATACTTCAGATGACTTCATGGAAGTCAATCAGGGAAATGGGCCAAAGAACTTCCGATACAAGGCGCTGGGCGGGTCGATCATTGAGTTGAGCTCATTTGGAAAAAGGCTGAAAAGGGATGAAAAAGGTTTGTTTGGCATTGTTTAGCAATGCTGTTGTAATTGGTGAATGTTAAGTCTGTTTGTCCTGAAACCTCTTAACCTTGAGGGCATTCACAACAATTGTGTGACTGAGGAAGCATATGGTCATCCAAAATCCGACGGCTTTCCCAATCAAAGTTAAGAATTCGGGATGTTTGAGGAGCCCCCCCTATTAATTACAAGGAAACTTCGATATCACCAGCGCAATTCTAAATCTATATATATATATATAATGTATATATATATATGTATATATATATGTATATATAAATGATCCAGGTTGATACCTATCGTTTCTTCAACATGTTCCGGCATGTTCCGCACCGTGTTCACTTAAAACGGCGACGCCTGTCCTTGTTTGATTTGTTTGGCCTTCCGGAGGCAGCAGCCATGACCTGCGGCTTGCTCATGTTGGGTGCAGTGATCTTCTTTTTCTCCGATCCGTGCCGTTCTCCCATGAAACTCTTTTCAAGCTCCGATATTGAGTGCCTGGGCCAGAATGGGCCGGACCTCTCCAGCCTTAAAGCCTTAAAGCATTTGAGGCGCATTTTGATATACTTCAAATACAGAAAACGTGCAAAGGATGAGACCGGCGATGTTCTACTTCAAATTGTTGTTTATAAGTCATGGTTTCACATCTCATTTCGGAAAACAATGCTTATCAGTTTCATAATGGTATCCCCCATGCCATTATGTTGTAACCAGTTCGCAGCATTCAATGGATTTGATGGAACATCCAGAATCCAGAAGAAACCATGGGTTTTGGATCTTTTGTGCCAGTTTAACCACAGGGATTTTTCTGAGTTTCCCTTCAATCAATAACTACCATCCCAATCTTTACAACGCCTGTCCTGAGGTTGGTGGAAGAGAAACAGCTTGAAGCGGCCTCACGTCACTTGAAGTCCATCACCTCCCGTGCGGATGCTGACAAGTGCCACGCCCGGAGAAGGGGGTGGAAGTGGGTGGAGCCGTTGTCCAGAAGAAGGCCTCCTTTCCAGGTTGATGACTATCATTTACCCAGAATGATTGCTGCACATGCAGCGAACGGCTTCATGACGTTGGTTTCAGCTGCGCCCATCATGGACTGTTCCAGTTGATGTCAATTGAGCCAACCCCTTCACTGTTAAGGGACGCTTGCCCGGCATGAAAGCGATTTCTGTTGAACTCTGAAACGTAGATTGCCTCCAGTACCTGCTCGTTTCACCCAGTTTGCCCAGCAAACTTGCAAAGTAATCAAGCTATTGTATCACATGTGGTTCCGCAATCCCACACTTTTGTTGGTCATCATTTGTTCCGGTATAAATTGAACTTTGGGGGTAAAATATGCCCCGATTGCTGGTCATGATGTGTTGTCTATATACCACTACATCCCCACTTACAAATTACGTCCGTCATATTATTGTATATGTAATATATATATATAATATATATATATATATCCGTTTTATTCTCCTAATTACTGGTTTGTAACATTTTGATCCATTTTGTTTCCCATGTCTGCACAAAGTCATCCTGTCAATGATTCCCTGCAAGGATGGTGGCACAAGCTATGGCCAAGGCGGGACATATTCCAAATTATGCAGTAGTTGGTTTATCCTTTAGAAAAAATGAGGGTTTACTTCACCATCCTGAAATCTGAAATGGAAATAGAATGTTAAGATTAGATAGCCCAAAAATTCGGGACAGCATTCATTTCTCATAGACAATCTGTGAATGATGGTGGAAACCTCTTAGTACTGTAGCATGTTGTAACTGGGCAGTGACCGTGCTGTTACCAGCATGAAAACTGAAGCTGGTGAAAGTCCAAGCCATATCCCACAAGGGATAGATGAAGATCCAAAAAATGCAGCTAGCCATATCTCACCGCTTTCCTGTACATCTTTCTCATGCTATGACCAAACACAATTTTGACAAACATAGATGTCATATTAATATATATGAGTCATATGTGCGCATATATATATACATGAAAGAAAGAAGAATGTGGATCATTTGGGGGTTTCTCCATTAGTGTTCAACAACCCGCCATAGACATCTGGCCTAGCTGTCGGTTCCCAGATGTCCCCTGCAGGCAAAGCAAGAGCGAATTGAGAAGCTCAGTGGCAGTTGAATGGGACTTGGGACAAACTTAGGAAGAGGTGCAGCGTTTCTGCAGAGATAGGTCCAAAATCGTTCAAAGAACTTGCCGAACGGATCTGAACAGATACAGAGAAGCACTCAGAGATATTCGGATTCACATGAGACCACAAATACCCAGCTTCTTAAGGCACCACAAACTCCACAAGTTGGAAGGAATGCCACCAGCGATGCGTGGCTCGGAATCTCCGGGTATCTCCGGGTTGGGATGTTGGGATTGGCTCGGCACAACCCGGCCAAGCCAGCAAGACACTTCTGGAGTTCCGAGCACGGGAGAGCTCGAGAAACTCAGGGTTTAGGGTTTAGGGTACCCCACACAACATGCCACAGTTAGCTGCAAGATCCTTTGTTGCAATGGTTTGCCTCAGGGAATGACACAAAAAAAACGTGAGACACCATTCAGCCAGGCTGATTGCCTCAGTAGGATCCATGCACAGCAACAGACAGCTGCCATGCTGATCCATGCTGTATGTCAGATGTGTGTTCCATTGAATACACAAATAGAGTATACAGTGATACAGTGGATAGTTTTCCACATATGTTTGCAGATCTCCAGCTTGCATCATGGCATGAAATGGCATGAAGCGTGTGATGAAGCTGGAAGGGCTGCTCCATATGCGGAAACAGCCGTTTTGAAAAATTGAAATCCGAAGGGCAAAAACATAAGGGCGCTTCATCCCCAAATGCGAAGCAACTTGTTCTATATAAGTGTGATATGATGTTGGGAAGTACCAATATTTGATGATATGATAAATGTCAAACTTTTTGTGGATAAAACTTCAGAAATTACAGTAGCGACTGTGTTAGTGTCTATGAAGGGGTGCAGCTTGAGGCAAGATGCTTGCGACGACTGGTCATCTTGGAGACTTCTTCCAAGCAGAGACGCTTGGAGAGATGATTCCCATGATATATTTCGGATTTCTTAAATCTCATTAGATAAACCATTACCATCTGGTTATTTAACATAGCCATGGAAAATCAACATTTTTAATAGGTAAACCATCTATAAATGGGTCATTTTCCATGGCTATGTTAAATAACCAGAGGGTAGATACCATTAGGTTCCAACCAGCCACACTATCTCCAAAGAAGGGTTTGGATTGTGAATCGCCCGAAAAAACGCCCAGGAAGTTGGCAGGACAGGCCCGAAAGGCTGAAGTGGAGGACATCAAATGGACTGCCAAGCAGAAGCTTGGCCCACGCTTGGTCCCGGACTGGTGGAAAAAAACCTACGGGGAAAACCACGAAATGCTGGCGAAATGTCCCAGAAATGGAGCAATGTCCCGGAAGATCCTGAGGAAACCACCATTTCATTATACCACCCTCCACTAAGTATACTAAGTATTCCAATGGCTGGAAAAATCCAGAAGATCTCGCTAACAAATCGACGCTGCTATGAGTTGGGGATTGGTTGGGGGATGGTACCAGAAATATCCAGAAATGGTGTTACAACCCAGAGGAAAGCACCAATATTTATATAAGACTATATGAGGGTAACACCCTGATGTTTCCCGATGTGCCCTGTATAGGCTTTCCCTTAAAACAATCGGTTGCAGAATGAGATAGGCCCCCCTTTGCCCAGGTTCGTTTTAAAGTAAAATTAAACGCCAGGGACAGCATATGTATAATCTATAAGGTGATTCAAAATGAGTTGGCATGACCATGTTGTTTGAGACATGCCAGTGATAGAGTGTGAAGATGACTGTCTTGCCAAGAAGCACAGATTTTCAGTTTGGGCCAGGACACTGTTCAATATGAATCAAGTGAAGGGTTTGCAGCTTGCAACATGTAGAGGAGCTGGTGCCGAAATGAGAAGGGCAGTTTATTTTTGTTCCTTCTGGTTGGCTACCAACCACCACCAACGTTGCCACGACATGAAGCCCTCATATTTGGTCTCGTGTTTTTGCTTTAATATATATACATATATATATATATATATACTTAATAATAATTAATGATAATAATAATCATCATCATCATCATCATCCTCAGGTTGCTCCATGCTGCCGAAAGTTTCAGGCATTCATTGACTCTACCGCGCGGCACTGAGGAAAGCCGAATACTGGGGAGGATCCAAAGTACAACAAGCACGTGCCTTTCATGAAATGACCAGGTTGCCTTCGCTCACCCTAGGTGTTAGGGGCCCTAGGGGCCCTAGGCGAATTGAATTTCAAAATCGCCTTGGCAAAACCATGCCAAACCAATCATCCATGTGTAAATCATCCCACTTATCCCAATTACATGGTGTGAATAATACCAATTAAATCATACCACCCATGTTAGATATGTTAGGTGGATTGAAATCATCCCATCCCAAATTGATCCAAATGGGGCATGTTCTGGGACTGCTGGGGGATCAGAGTCGGCTGTACCCAACATGGAACGACTGCTTCCTCGGTTTGTAAAACGCACTGTGTCACAAAACAGTATCAAATGATATCACTAGTATATCATTCAAATGTATATACATACCAATATCATAAAAGTGTGTGAGCATATAGATGCATATAGAGTATTTACATATGTCACATAAAAGGATAATAAAATATCTATATATGTATATGCACAAATCAATATATCATATCGTATCCACCTTGGACCGGTCAGCGCCTTGGCGCTCACCCAGCGAGGTGACTTCCGGAAGGCTTTCTGCGTTTTCAACGTGCAAGAGACCGTAGACAGTTTGGGCGGCACCGGTGTCGATATTGACGGAGTGGTGCCTCAAGCGAAGGTTGTGATGTTTTGCAGCGATATACATGTGTTATCATGTGTTTCTCTTATGCGGTATGTGTATATATATATATTATACATTTATTATATATATATGTGTGTGTTAATATATGATCAGATTATATGTACGTACTCTTTATTTGTATAATTAGGTAGGACGGATTGTATGAATATGCATTGTCATGATTTGTAATGTATATAGTTGTTTTGTTGGTTGCGTTACCCTATGTTTCATTCCTGTTGTAGCCCGATATCCCGCAAAATGATCCCAAAGTTGAACATCGCTTCGTATGTTTCATCATGTTTCACACTAAGACTGCTAAGAGCATCAATTTGTGGGTCCTTTTGAATCACAACATTTTTTGCCCAATGGCTTTATGGCTGGCACAGAGGTCCGCACTTGCCCCGAGCCACGCAATGACATCTCGGAATTTGCCTGCAGCGTGAATGCAGAGACCTTGGCCGAAATGGTGGGCACAGCGGCCACATGGCTCTCCAGTGCCGTCTCATCCTGCCACCTGGCTGAGACGTCACGACGTCACTGAAAGGATGATGGAGCTGTAGGGGGAATCATGCCCAAGCGATACATCTTTGCAGTATGACCTTATTTCAGGTGAGGAGTTAATAGCCATTCGTGCTTGTGTCAATGCATGGTTCAGGACGTACAATACCTTAATGTACCTTACAGATACCTTGCAGTTTCGTAGGGGAACGTGCAGGCAACGCATTTTCAGAATCATCTGATTGTGCGCATATAATTCAGTCCCGCCTCATTCAACACCTCGACACACTTGAACTGTCTTGCACCGTCAAGACATGGGTCCCAGGCGACACCTTCCCCAACGTGGGCGCCGAATGCGGCGCCGGCGTCGCCGGGATCGTCGGGGCCCTGGGCGAAATGGCCGCCTCAGCCACCCTGGCGATGACCAGCTGCAAGGAATTCCCCATGGCAGGTGCCTTTGGGGGGGTGGATGGGATGGATGGGATGGGATGATGATTTTGAATGGCGAAATATAATGATAAATATATATATATATTATTTTTTAGATGGGCTGAATCCACCAATCAGATGGGTTTGATGGGTAATCGAATGAATTAATTAAATGTGTGTCCTAAAAGTTGGGCACAGCACATTATATATAGAGAGAGAGGGAGAGTATATGCTCCGCTCCGGATGAACTAAGTAGTTGGGTTTTCGACATCATGTTCTAAAAGTGGGGTGTATACCTTAAGGTTGTATTATGGCAACTGAGGATAACGCGTTCAGGGTGCCCCAATATTGGACCAATCACGACAAAGCCGTTTAAAGATATGAGAAAAACGTAGGTTCTACATATATCTGAAACAGGAGGCAGGGGGAATATGGAAGATTTCAGGTTGAGGGGGAAGGAAGCAACCAGAATTGTCGGGGAACGAGTCACAATACATAAGGAGTACATATGGGGGCGGGTCCAAATCTGCAGGCTCTTCGGAGTCGGTTTCAGGGATACTGTAAGATCGGTGATTTCAAGATATTCAAACCATCATCATCAGTAGTGACCTTTGGCATGGAGCCCACTTCTGACCAATCTAGCTTGTTGCTCCTCAAGCCCCCCCGATTTTGATCCATGATATTCAAGCGGAAGTCCTAGCAGTGTAACTGTGACATCATTCTACCCATGGCCCTTGATCATTGCCTGATTTTTGTCCATCCTTTCAACACAATCCAAGCATTCGCAGATTTATGGCATTGGGCTTACCACATTTTTTCGGGGTCCCAAAAAAGACAGATATGTCTTTCCAGGATGGTAGTTCGATGACGGTTTCCCCATCATTTCCAGCTTTCCATTTGTTCAATTTATGACTGCCGAATCTAGTGGGAAAATATGGGAAATATCGAAATTAGATTGTCCAAGAAATGGTGGTTTCCCTGCTATTGTGGGGTTATATAAGTTACATCCACATATCTGTTTGAAAATTGGGTATAGCATCAATTAATATAGCTTTTGATATAGTTTAATGTGTACATTACTCTCTAGTTATTTAACATATATAGCCACAGAAAAAGGGCCCATGTTTGATGATTTATGATGATTTACCGAACTTTATAACATGGTGATGTTCCAGTTCGCGACGTTAAATAACCAGAGGGTATATGGAGGTATCCTTGAGTACCCTATAAATCATCCATTTATAGATGGGTTGTTCCATTATAAATCATCACAAATCATCCAGCCATTGGGGTACCCCCATGGCTATGGAAAGCCCCGTATCTTGTCATAGCCAGTTGCTGAACCCTGGCGACTCAACCAGGCTTCAAGGCGGATGCATATGGAGATTCCTACGGAGACGCGAGAGTCAACAGCCTTGGCGAACCCGGGATCAGGCAGGTGATGGTATTAGTGAACTCCTTGGCAAGGATGGCAACGGTTATATTTATTATACACATGGCTTTAGATATGCAATATAGATTCAATATAGTATGTATATATATATACAGTGTATATATATACACAAAATTATACATATATAATCATATGTATATATGCATACATTTATTTCCATATGTGATGTGCTTGGTGATGCGTTTTATTTCTGAGCGGTACCATTGTAACCTCATAGTGAGTGACAGCGTGTATTTTGTCTCCAGGGGGGTTCGCCGTTGTTGCTCCAGCCAAGCCAGTGATGTTCAGGGTGCATCTACTGATCCGTCCGTAGGTTACATTTAGAATATGCATATTGAGGTTTCCTAAAATGGTGGGTACCCGGGTACCCCAAATCATCCAAACTTATACTATTTTAGTATTGAAGCCCATGGTGACTTGGGGAGCCCCTATTTCAGACAAACCCATATGAAACCATACGAACAATTATTCGCAAACAGACGGAGAGAAGGAGAGGAGTATATACATGCACCCACTCTTTCTCTTGACTTTTTCATCTGCAGTATTTGACGTAAGTACATCTGCAAATGTGAATTCATGGGATATCAGTTGGTAAAACTAATATATAGTGGATAATTCAACTATATTTACCAACATGGTATATCAAAGTTTATCCATCATTTTCACGGATATCATGGTACATGGTACATGGTATAACCTCGTCCGTCGCCAGGATGTCCCGCGTGGGCAACAGCGGCCCCGACCGCCGACTCTTCATTGGAACGGGCATTGGTGGCATGGGCGTCCAGTGTGGCGTGGACGTTCCCGGGCCTGAGTTTATGGCAGGGGCCGGTCACCCTGTTGATTGAACGTAAGCAATGCAAAAATATAATGTAACAGGAAAATAGATGGGAAAATAGTAAATAGGTTGTATGCAAAGTTTGATGAAGCCTCTCTAAATGATTCTAAATGAGCAATGTTCCATGATTTTCCGTTGCAATGTTCAAATGACAGGAGGTGATTTGCTGATTCGTGTGCCCATTTGTATCAGACATGACGTCAGCAGCTGCGTCCTCCTAAGGTGGGCTTCATCGCTGACAACATTTATGACCCTTGGCAACGGCCAGGGTCATATGATGACTACTTAGATGTTGCCAGAATTGGCCAAGTGATTGATTGGCTAACCACTTACCATGACTCGCAAATTCTGGCAACATCTAAGTAAGGTATTGGTAAGGATGGTGATACCGACAATGGCGGTTGTTTACCCTGCAGCTGAGATGCCACCAAAAAGTCAGCTCCATTGCGGACTGCCGGACTGCTTTGGATCTTCGAAATCTCACCGTTTCACATCCTTGTTCCACGGGTAGAAGCATCACCATGTTTGGACAATCCCACGGGCTGGCCAAAAACCAACGCCCAGCCACTAAGGACACCATTTTCTACATCCAGCAGGCTGTCCAGCTTGACACCTGCAGTAAGCGAACCCGCTATGGTCCTTACAACTACCTGACAGGACGACCTGCGCGATTCACATTTCCTTCATCCAGAGTTGATTTGATGCGAGGGAGGGCTTGTAGAGGGCTGGCTATGTTCTTTTTTTTCTTGAGGAAGTACATATGTATTGTACTGATTAATATTGCATTATATATATAGCATTATATATAGCATTATATAGCATTATATATATATATGTGTGTATTGATAAATAGACCACATTAGGCTCTTGGAGAGACCTGGCATGCCTCGGTGTCAGGAGTGCCGGAGGCTGCCTGTGTCCTGGACATTGCCGGCGCCATCGCATGGATTTCTCAGATCGCCACCTTCGTTCAGCCGCTTGGCATGGGAATTCTTCACCATCGACGCGGGAAAAGTTGGGATTTCGCCAACAAAAAGGGACAAAAAGGGACAGTTAGGGTAATCCAATGTAATCCATACCACCCGCCAAAGTATGAATTATGATTCCAACTTGTGCCAATATGTCCCAATGTTGTTTGGCAAATGTTGGGGTTTACTATGGTTTACTCCATCTCTCGGGTGAACTATTGTTAGATACATTAAGATACTTTAGTATTTCTTTTTAATACTTTGCTATCAATGGTAAAATGTACTAACCATTACTAACCAGTCAAAAAAATGATTTTTTGACAGGTATCTAAGATTCAGCATCATCTACAGACCCCAGATTCCAGATCAGATCAGCCCGGACATGTTCGTAGTATCGCGGCTGAGGCAATTGGTGAGTCATTGCCCTGATCTTCTGGAGACCCGCTGCGATGACCCAAGTCCATTCATACTCCATATACATCATTACACGATATTACACGTCTACATATAGAAGATCTACAACATATACAACATACGCACAGAACATATACAACATATACATACATATACAACATATACAACATATACAACATATACAACATATACAACATATACAACATTATACAACATTATACAACATACGTATATGTATATATATATATGTACATACATATACATATATACTACATACATACTACATACATAATACATACATAATACTTACATATACATACATATACATACATACTACATACATAATACATACATAATACTTACATATACATACATATACATACATATACACACATATACATATATATTTCCATATATACATATGTACATATATGAGCAGGGACCCCCACACCCCCCACCCCCCCCAGCCAGATGGTTCCCCCCCCCTTGTGGCAGGGGAGGGGGGGTTTTCTCAGCAGCCAAGCCGATTGTTGCTGGAGGAATGGTTTCCATATATATATAATATGTAAGATATAAATAGAATATATGCAATATATATATATATATATTTATAGTATATATATATGTTTGACACATATATATATATATATACATATATTGAACATTATTGAACATATATATATATATATATCGTATATGTGGATTTTGATAGAATATAGATAGTGTATGCCACATGTACTGTATCCACAGTAGATGTAATATATACAATATAGGTAAATATGTTCGTTGAATAAATTTTACATAGTATATGTGGTATATTGAATATCGACAGCAATACACGCTGTATATCTAGAGTTTATGTGTGTATATATATATGCATATATATATATATACATATATATATATATGCACATATATATGCACATATATATATATATATGTGTACACACATATATATATATATATACGTGTACAGTATGTACAATGTAAACGAAATATGTGATAGATACAAGATCAAGATATCAATATTTAGTATCTAGAATGTGCATATATATATATATACGTATATATATTGTTTTCTATACATACATACATACACACACATACATTCATACATACATACATACATTCATACATACATACACACACATACATTCATACATACATACATACATTCATACATACATACACTCATACATACATTCATACATACATTCATACGTACATTCATACATACATACATTCATACATTCATACATACATACACACACACATACATACATACATTCATACATACATTCATACATACATACATTCATACATACATTCATACATACATACATTACATACATTCATACATTCATACATACATACATCATACATACATACATACATTCATACATACATTCATACGTACATTCATACATACAAACATTTATACATACATTCCTACATTCGTACATACATTCATACATACATACATTCATACATACATACATACATTCATACATTCATACATTCATACATACATTCATACATTCATACATACATACACATACATGCACATACATTCATACATACATTCATACCTACATACATTCATACATACATACATACATACATTCATACATACATACATTCATACATTCATACATACATACACACACATACATACATACATTCATACATACATTCATACATACATACATTCATACATACATTCATACATACATACATTACATACATTCATACATTCATACATACATACATCATACATACATACATACATTCATACATACATTCATACGTACATTCATACATACAAACATTTATACATACATTCCTACATTCGTACATACATTCATACATACATACATTCATACATACATACATACATTCATACATTCATACATTCATACATACATTCATACATTCATACATACATACACATACATGCACATACATTCATACATACATTCATACCTACATACATTCATACATACATACATACATACATTCATACATACATACATTCATACATTCATACATACATACACACACATACATACATACATTCATACATACATTCATACATACATACATTCATACATACATTCATACATACATACATTACATACATTCATACATTCATACATACATACATACATACATCATACATACATACATACATTGATACATACATTCATACGTACATTCATACATACAAACATTTATACATACATTCCTACATTCGTACATACATACATTCATACATACATTCATACATACATTCATACATACATACATTCATACATACATTCATACATACATTCATACATACATACATTCATACATACATTCATACATACATTCATACATACATATATTCATACATACATATATTCATACATACATTCATACATTCATTCATATTTTCATACATACATACATACATTCATACATTCATACATACATTCCTACATACATTCATGCATACATACATACATTCATACATTCATACATACATTCATACATTCATACATTCATACATACATTCCTACATACATTCATACATCCATACATACATAAATTCATACATACATGCATGCATGCATGCATACATGCATACATGCATACATGCATACATGCACATACATTTTGTTTTATTACGTTTACATATATCTATATATACACCATGTAACCAAGTAATATTTTTTTTGCGGGACACTGCCAGGAGCTTCCCACGCTCTGCGGCTCCAGCTCCTCGGGACTCTTCTCCTCAGCCTCGCAGATCGCCTCCTGGGGATCTCAGGTGGCCATCGCCTGTGGCGCAAGTGGCTGGGACCCGACCCGTTTCGGGGACCTCAAAAGCGTGAAAAAAGGCATCAAAACCACAGGATTTTGTTGGGAAAAATCGGATTTTATGGGATCTTATGGTGATTTTTATGGGATATGAGTGGAATTTGAATCGGATTTTAATCGGATCTTGTGGGATTTTGTGGGATTTTTTGGAGATTAATAATGATTTGCCCATTAGTTGAGTACTTTTTTGGTAATTTTAACCGTTTGCTATGGAAAACCACCATTAGGTAAATCCTCCATCGAACTAAATGGGCCATGTTCAATAACTATGTAACAAATTCACAGAGGGTATGTAATTAATATGAATTCATATCAGATAGTTAACTGATAGTTCCTATATTTAATTATCCTGGTACAGGAAAATCAACAAAAAGTATCTAAATTATGATTTTTGAATAGATCCATATATAAATATTTATATATATATATATATATATGTTCAGTGATGGAAGATGACTTAGTATGATTCTATTTTTGTCATCAATGGAAATGATTTCAGGTGACAAATGAACATAATTGGCTCGGGAATGTTAAGCTCTCATCTCCGCAACCCGCACGGCCCTGTTGAACTCAGGGATTGGTCCTTTTCATTCATGAGGTGTCAACAAATATGGAGATTTAACTAACAAGAATGGAAAGTTTTTGGGGGGATAATATGGGGCCAAATGGGGATACAAGGGATTATTTGGCAAGACAGAATGAGGAAATTTGGGTGTGTCTAGAAATGGAGTAGTTACCTTCAATTGATGGCATTCAACTTGTAAAACGGAATATAGTCATGAACCAATGGAAGGAAGGGGGGGTCCACATTTTCATACCCAGATTTGCACAGGCATAGCCACAACTGGATCCAAAGGTGAGTCTGTCACTGTGATTGACCGCGTGATTGTCTTCGCCGAAGACTACAGTGTGGTTGCAGGCACGGTTTCAGCAGGTTCACCATTGCGATGTGTTTCCTGTTTTGTGAATTCAAATCAATCCATTCTAAAGGATAGCCGGAGCGAAAGTCACTCAGCAATATTCCGATCGTGTCAGCCGGATTGAAATTGGAAATCCAACTGAAACCAATTCATACACAATGCCCACGTATCCTTCCCAATTTTCCCAATTTGCCCGTGGAAAATTGGAAAATCCTTCAGCTCGCCTGTGTGGAGTCAGAGCTCGCCCGACCATCAGGCCGCGAGGTTGCCTTTGTAAAACTTTGCTCGGCAGCAATGAAGGCGGGGCACCATAGCTTTTCCCCATCAGAAATCGCCAGAAATGACACCAGGATGATTTGGATTGTGCCTAGGGCCAGCCATCCAAACGCAAAACCTTTTTTTCAACGGGCGAACAATTACAGCGAACAAAGGTGCATGAGGCTTGAAATCGGTGGGGTGGAAGCCGTGTTTGCTATCTGGATTCCTCACCCTCAGCTTGCAGAAACCAAATCAATAGGTAGGTGTTCAATTTCCTCTACGTTCACTTGAGCTGGGCAGGCACCATCGCGACAATATCAAAGCTTCCAGTTCTATCTACTTTGTGAAGTCTGTGGTATGTGCAGATAGATGGATAGATGGGATGAAATGAGATAAGATGAGATGGATTAGATAGACGCCGATAGACGATAGAGATAGATCAACATTGATAGAGAGGCACTAGAGAGATAGGGACAGACTAGAGAAGTAGAGAGATGGGGAGAGATGCACGCATGCTTGTATATAAATTTATACACACATATATAGAGAGAGAGAGAGTTACACGCACACACACATATATATATATAGAAGAAAATACTCGATCAACTCCTCACCTTTGCATGCGTATCTATGATGTTGTATCCAATGACTGTATAGCGTACATGATTCTCATTTGGCGTCAACACGGAATAGACGAATCAATAGGTTATCTTTCAATGATAACATGTTCTTTTATCCTGAAAAATCCGGGATGAAAACTCAAGACTTGGCCAACGATGTTTGGCTCAAGATGCCTGCAAAAAACAGTGCTATCCGACAGTGCTTTCCGGATTTGGCATTGCATTTGGTATCTTGATCATCAACACCTTGTAATCAACAGGATTTCTGGTTATTCGACGATTTCTCTGGTTATCAGCCGCATCTCGGCTCTAATCAATTCAACTGTGAGACCATTGAGCTTCCTGGACTACATTGCATTGTGCATTACATCTAGGGGTGTTGCAATCTTTCGTTCGCGCTTAGCGCGTCCAGCACAGCAGAAGCAAGTTTGTGATCTTGCTATAGTTCTTTTGTATCGAAGATTGTGGCTTTGGGTGGACTGTCGCGTGTATCGCGTGCCACTGTGTTCCTGTATTTGAAGCATAGGAGCTCTTGCACTATAAGTTCCTCGTGGTGTAAAAGATGAAGCGCGACGTGCCAGCCACTCCATTCAAAGTTGATGGGCCGAACTCAACTTGGACCCCATCATCTGATTCACTTGAAAACCCGGTAGGTCAATTAGCTACCATGACTCAAGCTGGCGCTCAGGAGGTGGCCACTATGACTACCCTGGCAAAGCGAGGGCAGAGGTCATCATCGTCCAATGCAGGCGGAGCAGCACAGCAGGGTAGGAGTACATCTACGGGTCAACAGATTCCACCAAGTTTGCATCAGTACAATGCTCAGAATGTTCAACAAAATTTGTTTCAGCAACAGGTCAATCAAGTAGACCCTGAACAGTTGGAGCAGTTGTTGGATTGACTGGTGAGGGCAAGGGTGGAAAACAGTTATCATCAGATGAGGGAGGCCGCACGACAAGAGGTCGAGCACATCAGACAACAAGCCGGAAACAACCAAAAGGCATTGCAAGACCATGTTTTAGAGAGATTGCAACAACTACAGCATGAAAAGCAAACAGTTGAAATGAGAGAACAACAAAACACTGAACAAGCCAAACAATGGTGTGAGCAGATTCAACAGCAAGCGGATGTCCGCATTGCACAGATGGCAGAGAGCAACAGGCAATTGAGACTAGAAATTCATGAGGTTCAGAAGGCTGCAAAAGGCCAGGTGGCCTATGTCGCCCGACAAGCTGAATTGGATCGGGACAGGGCTGTGAAGGAGCTTCAGATGCTTGGAGCGAAATTGGAAGCCGCACATCAGCAGTTGAAGAACTCTGAAAGGGTGGCATCAATGGCTGGTTCAATTAGTGGTTCACCTTGTGTTGGAAACCCTTTTGATCATCCACTTCCACATACACAGTCTGCACAACATACCGAGATCATTTCAGTTGGACCTGGAGCTAGTGTCGCCAACATCAACCCCTTAGAGGTGATGTTTTGTTCATGCTGCGGTTCACAAAATGTGGTTGGAAGACCATCATGTTGGAGATGTTCTACATGGTTCAGTGCAGTAGTTGCCAACAATGGCGCGGACAAGAATCTCTTGCAGGGAGATCGCATTGGTGCTGCTTCATGTCCGCCTCCAAGTTTGCCCCCATCAGAGTCGTTCAGGTTCCTAGGAGCTGGAGCTGCGAGCGCGTCTATCGCGCATGCGGCTGTTGGCACTGCCCAGGCATATCCCTTGGTTGGAAGCGCGTCTATCGCTGCGCCAGCATCAGGGGGGCTTTGGGAGGAGCTGGAGTTGGTAATGGTGGAGCTCCGAGTGGTATTCCTGTTGAAGACTATCGCAACCTTGTGCTAGATGGGCCACAGATTCAAGGTGGACACATTATACCCACTGCCAATGGCACTGCACAGAATGATGTGAAGTCTACCATGGGAGGACACATACCTTCAAATCATGGCGCAGCCGAGTTTGCAATACATACACCCAAAAATGGTTCATCATCAAATGGCCCTTCATCTTCGCAGGAACTGATTGATGATAAAGCTTTTCAGCCTCCAACGGATGGCTGGTTATCAGATGGGAAATCTGAAGAGGATGTTTACAAGTTGAAGCGTTTGAGGTCAGTGGTAGTCACTAGATTGCCCAATGATGCAACCTCATGCAGAGAGTGGCGAGCGGCATTCCTGGCGTCGATTTTTAGGATTGACCTTTCAAAGACTGATTTCTTGTCAAATGGGCCACATATGCAATGGAGGGCAGAGGGAAAAGCTTTTAGAAACTCTTTGCAGGCATCAGAAGACTTTATTATGCTGAACAAACACATAGCGGCGGAATTGATCAAACCCGAGGTGTTGTCTACCAATGTGGAGCTCGCCCACGAGATCACCAGCTGGGTGGAGGGCTGCGCAGCAAGGGCTGAGGGGCCTAAGGGCACTCCGCTCCTGAACCTCATAATGTCGTACTATGAAACGGGTTTGGACAGGGCTGTGGCGTTGGGCCAAATGCATCTTTTGAATCTCCAACTGGAAGGGAAGGGGATCAAAGAGTTAGAGGAGTTCGTCAAAAAGGTGAATTACGTGTTGCATGGTTTCAAAACTGCAGATAGACCATCCCCAAGGACAATGTTCGAATGGTTATGGCATCAGATCAAAGGACTGAATACCCTGAGACACACCACTGACAAGGTCAGAGAGTCTAGCCAGAGGTCAAGGAAGAGGTCTTTTGATTGGATTTGGACTCAGATTGCAGAAGAGCTCAGAGAGAAACGCCATGACATGAACTATGATATGAGAATGTTGTCAAGGGACTGCGTGGAACACCCCCTCATCAGTTAGCTTTGCCTGCTACTGGAGAGAAGCAGACTAGAACTTCGAAGCAGAAGAAAACTGCTGCGGTTGCCCAACCTGTTGTTACCCTTGGTCCGGTAACAATTCAAAGCGCAAAGAAGTCTCCCTGTGCACGGCATACTGCTGGCCTTTGCAAATTTGGAGATCGATGCCGTTACCATCATACAGGTGACCCTGGATCAGACGCTGCTAGAAAAACCTACTCAGAGTTCCTGAAAAACAACCCAAAGGGGGGTGAGTCTTCCAAAGACTCTGGCAATCAGCCAGGCAAGGGAAAGAAAGGGGACACCAAGGGCACCAAGGGCGGTTCAACAGCCCCAGCAGCTGTGGCTGCAGCAGCGTCCACTGTGACAATCACTGAGGTCGAGGGCAAGCAGGTTCAGAAAGCTTGGCAGTCATTTTGTCAGTTCTGCGACAAGGCCCTTCCTTCGTTGAACGTGTTCTTGAAGTTGTCTGTTCCTATTCTTGCCACATTGATTTCATCAAATACAAATTCCTATGATCAGATTGGAGAAACAACAGCGGCTTCAGCGGTTTATCCTGCAATTCAGAACTTTAAGAAGTATTCCTTGGAGTTCTGAGGGGCCACTGGTGCTGCCCATGACATTGGAAGTCTAAGGGCACTGCAAGACCAAGGTTTGAGCAGAGACATGGTTGAGCCATGGATAAAAGCACTGCAGAGCCCCGTGAGGCCCGTGAGGTTTGCAACTGGAGGAGGGCCGCAACTCTCCACTGAAGCATTGCGGGTGTACACCAAGGAACTGGGTGATTTTCATATCCATATCCTTGAGAGCTGCCCCATGGCCTTATCGATAGGTCGACAAGTCAGCCGTGGACGCACATTCATTTGGCAGCACGGCCAAAAGCCGTACATTGCCCTTGATCATCGTCGATGTCGTGTATGGTGCCCTTCTGAAAACAGATGGTACGCCAACAGGGTCCAAAGTAACGTTCCAATCTTTGCCATTGACAGTCCATTGAAGCCTGCAAAGGTGAATAAGGATGAACCTAAGTGCACTCAACTTGAACAGCCAGCTGCATGCGCCGATTTGAGCACTGAGGACTCCAAAGCCGTGTTTTGTGGATCATGCTTGGAGAGACAGTTTGCTTGCGTATGTCATGATACTGCTGTAGAATGTTTGGACAATTTTGACACCACTGGACATAAAGATCATGACGCTGGTTCACAACTCGCCCCGGTGCGCGATCTTGCAGATGAGTGTCAAGTACCAGATGTTGATGTAAGTGACATTGCAGTTCATCCATTAGCCTATGATGCTATTCAGCGCCGAAGGCAACATCATGCAACATCAAAAGGACAACAGACGGAGAAAGTGGGAGAGATTGAAGAGCGAGAGACCACTGTCTGTGACATCAAAAATATTTGACAGGGGGGCAACTGCCGTCGAAACAATGATGAGTGGCCTCAGAGACTTGTACAATGATTGTGCCACTCAACATGACGAACGTAGATGCAGTTCGTAGTTTTCCGAGAGGGGGGAGAAGAAAATACTCGATCAACTCCTCACCTTTGCATGAGTATCTATGATGTTGTATCCAATGACTGTAAAGTGTACATGATGTCATTTGGCGTCAACACGGAATAGACGAATCAATAGGTTATCTTTCAATGATAACATGTTCTTTTATCCTGAAAAATCCGGGATGAAAACTCAAGACTTGGCCAACGATGTTTGGCTCAAGATGCCCGCATAAAACAGTGCTATCCGACAGTGCTTTCCGGATTTGGCATTGCATTTGGTATCTTGATCATCAACACCTTGTAATCAACAGGATTTCTGGTTATTCGACGATTTCTCTTATATATATATATGTATAAATACCTGGAAAGCCATCATTAGTGCTTTAATCGTTTGGAGCCACTTGTGTGAGAGTTGCTACGGCTCTTTACCGTCTCTTTTCAACAAAATGTCGAAAACATACAGTTTTGCTACGGGTAGGTTTGTTTGAGAGCTGCTACGGTTTTTTGCGTTTTTTTTTAAACAGAATGTCGAAATGGTTTTGCTACGGGTAGGCTTGTTTGAGAGCTGCTGCGGTAGCTACGGGTAGGACTGCAACGTTCTTTTGATTTTACCATTTTTTGGGTCATTGCTGGTAAAAACAATATTTTACAAAATAAATGATCATTAAGGTTTTTTCCCCATAATAACCAGAAAATTTTGTGTTTTTTCTTTCCAGGTGTATATTATATATATATGCATATATGTATGTGTGTGTGCTACTATGGCGCTATGTACTATCTGAAGTTTTGTCCCAAGGTGTTTGATGTGGAGTGCACCTGGGTCTCCTCAACCACCTCCGACCTCTCCGCAGTGCCTGGTACCCATGTTCCGCAAGTCGCTTGGCAGCCGCTGGTTGGTTGGGATGATAGTAACCATGGACCAATGGAGCCACCAAAGAGATAGAAAGGATATGAGAAAATGATTTGTTTGGCCCCAGAAAGATAGAAATGTAAATTCCTACTTGAATTGTGATAAATTACTGTTCGGTCTTTTCGGGAGTAGTTATCAATGCATCACTGTTCTAGTATGTTCTAGTAACAATAGTGGGAGTTTACTTATCTACTTTTTGGGGTTTGCTACTATGGGCAAGTCGCTGTGATTTGCCCATGGGTTCCCTCCTTCAATGCTGGGGCATGATATTGGAAATATCATGTCCGAGCTGAAAAGCTGCCAGACATTGCCGTATAATGCCATATATATATATATATATATAATCCCCCTTGACTGTACCTGTATGGAATGGAAGAACCCACTCCCCGTATGAAATGGAAAAACCAACGTCATTTCATACACGGCCCATCTTGGAAAATGGGGCAAAAAACCCTTAAATTTTGGTGCCATGTTGCACCCCTCCATTTCATACAAAACGATGGTAATTCCATTGTATACAGCTGCATTTTTCTTTGGAATCATTAGTCCCAAAATCGGCATTTCCATAATATAAATGTTGTTTGCTTTACTGTTTTTAATCAATATGTGGTCCTGGAATACGGCTACCATAATATACAAGTAATAAGGTAGGATGGAGAAACGTTAAAACTTAGTCAGTGTTGATGTATCAATTATGTAGCCTTCCATTTCATACAACATACATATCACTAGCTGCCTTTGTGATCCATTTCATAAAAAACATTAAAACATTAAATGATTTAAGTCGATGTCACGACGTCCCCCCCTGCGGTATTTTCTGCATGGCATTGGCTCAGTTATGCTCCTGCGGGGCACATTTCTGTGCCATAATTTTATCTTAGAATATCTTAAGATACCTTAAAATGACCCCCTCAAAAAAACAACAAATTCCATAATATACAAGTCAAATTTTCTTGGTTTCAAGAGTTCATTTTTTTGCCATTTCCATAACATACTGGCGAAGCATTTCTTTGCATATCCGGCCTGCTAGGTAGTACAATGGTGGTATTCCATAATATATAAGACCAAAAAAGGATCCATTCTATACAAATATTACTGGACCCAACCATTACATAAACCAGTTTTTTATGGAATGGTGGGGCACGGGTTCCTACCCATCAATCAAGGGGGATTATATATATATAATATATCTGCATAATTTAGAGCGAGGGCTGACGAGGTACGAGGTGAATCTTTGCAATTTAAGCAGCCCGTGAAAAAAAAACTTTCTGGAGCCCGAAAAGTTTTTTTTATCGTAATTTCAGTCAGTGCCCTGTGGTGGCATGCCCGGTTGTTCCAGGACTTCCGTTTTTGTTCTACAGTGAAACCACTGTTTAAGAATCCACTGCATTAAGAACCTCAGGGGCTGGATTGCTGGATTCAACTCTGTCTACCAGCTAATTGAAATAAGAACCCTAGGGATCCCAGGTAGCGCGACTAGATTCTAAAATTGCTAAAGCTTGAGGTGTAGCGGGGTATCTTGGTGCTGCTGCTGCAGCTTCTCTTCTCTGGGGTCGAATTTGGGGGGAATCGAGCCCCTGCAGATCCGCTTGTAAAAGAGGCATCTCGGAAACAGGAAAAAACTTTTTAGGCCCTGAAAAGTTTTTTCAGCATCCCCAAGCCTCTGGAGCCCAGAGCGTTGCTGCAACGACGACAAAGATAATTCAAAAAAGCTCAACCCAAAAGGAGGCAGAGGACTAGTTCGAATGGCTTGCGGTCGAGAAAGAAATGGGACGAGGGCTGAAATCCGTTTTGAATGTAACGAGGCGAGGACTGAAGATTTAATCAGAGGGGAAAAGTAGATTTAAGACGAGGAAACCGTTTTGAATTTAAAGTAAATTTTGCAGATATATATATGATGCAAATATGCACTTATATGCATTTATACATAATATTTATTTATACATGGTAACACTACCCCCCGCGACACCTACCTTTCTACTTTTTCTATTGTAATTTAATGTAATTTATAGGGTTTCAGCTTATATGTTGGACCTTCCAAAAAAGATCGAAAAAGTAGACAAAGTATAAAGAGATACAAAAAGATTGCACACCCAATACCCCTTTCCTGTCACGTTTGGATGTTGGGGTCTGCAATCTTACTTGTGGTTCCATTTTTGTTTTTTTTTGACAGTGGTTTATTTTATTACTTATTGTGTTCCTTACTGTGTTCTTCCCTGGTTAAAACTTGGTGCCGGCGCCTCTAAGTGGCCCTGCGTTTGTGAATGCTTCGGATTCGTGAACGTTTTGAGAATCATCAAAAACTGGTGGTTTTGAAGGATTTCATTTGAAATCGATGTTAGAAAAACTGAAAGGGTTTGTCCAGAAGGTGGTCTTCGGCAACCCTTCCAGCACTTCGCACATTTGTTTACGTCTTTCTGGCGGGTCAATTTGTTTTGTTTGCCATATTTCGTCATATTTCCATAGCGTAGCGTGGTGTTGTAGTAGACATGGAAGAGAAGTTCTTCTGACGACTCTAGAGACGTTCTTTCGAAGATATGGAAGTGCAAGAGACTTCTTAGAACATAGCAAATATATATATATAATCTAGCATAAAAAAGATGCACAAGTGCAAGAGAAGTTAACGTAGCAGCAAGAAAGTTTCTGACGTAATTAACAGCAAAAGCGTGTGCAAGTATAAGGACGTTGTTGCCCCAACATGAAGCAATAACAAAAAGCATACGCCGACAGAACAATAAAGGCGGTGAAGATCGGTGAAGTAAAAAGTGCACGAACGCAGGGCCTCTTACAGGTGCCGCCACCCAAAACTTGGACCTTCCAGAAAATGCCGAAAAAGAGAAACAAAAAAGTCAGATTGCACACCCAATACCCTTTTCCTGTCACGTTTGGATGTTGGGTTCTGCAATCTTACTTTGTTTACTGTTTCTTTTTCAAACGTTTTCAAAACTAGTTGTTATTTGTCCCTTTCTTTTCCCAAGACGAAATCGCGAATCTTAAAACCACTTAAGCAATCCTTCACTTTAAATCATTGAAGACAGTACGTAAAATTCTTCAAAAACTACTCCAAGATCATTCAAACTAAGCCACAATTCGTTTAAAAGCGTTCAAAATCTATCTTAAAATCAGTTGATATCTACTGAAATGGCCCAAAAATGCTCTAAAGCCTGCATCAAATCATTGAACTTCTACGTAAAATTCTTCAAACGTTGGTTTAAAATCTAAAAATCATTTCCCAAGTGCTCACAAATAAAAAAATACTTCAAAAATTGTTAAAGTCGTAAAACCACTGCAGATCTACTTCAAATCCGTCAAAATCTACTTAATATATCTTAAACGCATTTATATAATATCTATTCGAAACGCTTCAAAACCCTTTTAGATCACGCAAATTCCTATTTAAAATCTACTTAATTAAGATCCGTCAAATTTGATTCTTTCATCTATTTGAAGCTAATTCAAAACCATTCAACATCTTCTTAAAAAGAATTCTACCTACAATCGTTTCAAATCAGCTTTAAACCTTTCATTTAGGAAAATCTTGGGCCTGCAAACATTGGAAATTCCAAAATAATTATTTTGTCATTTTTTTGCATTTTTGTTGCATTTTTTTTGCATTTGGGTTTGTCATTTTGGATTTGTGTTGTCATTTTTTGTCATTTCTTTGTCATTTCTGTGTCATTTTTTTGTCATTTGTTTGTCATTTTATTGTCATTTTATTGTCATTTTATTGTCATTTTGGGAACGGGAAAATGGAGAAAAAACATTGTTTAAAAATGACTACCATGACAGACATTTTGTTATCTCGTGGCAGCACCAAATACAAGGAACAAGTGGAGAAACTCTTGGAAAGCCAGCCGGCGGTGAAGAAGGATAGGGCAGGGGAGCTTGCCCTGGGGAATTCGTTTTTGGGCCTGCCTGGACGAGGAGTTGTCTCCCGGCTCGGGGTGCAGGGCCGGCTCAAAAACCGGGTGGGGGGGCGGGGCCGGGGTGAAATGGCCCGGGGGGGCGGCTCAGGCCCGAGAAGCGGGGCCGACCTGGAAACTCCAAAAACGCAACTTTACCAGCACGCGAGTCATTTTTTTCGCATTTTTTTTTGCATTTTTTTTGCATTTGTTTTGCATTTTTTTCGCATTTTTTTCGCATTTTTTTTGCATTTTTTTTGCATTTCCCAGACTAGGAGTCATTTTTTTTGCATTTTTTTTGCATTTCCCAAACCGGGAGTCATTTTTTGCAATTTTTTGCATTTCCTAGACCGGGTTTGCCACCTTCACCGCTTGCCTGATCCTTATGAGAAAACGACAAGAAAATGAACAATGCTAGAAAGTAGAAAACGACAAGAAAACGACAAAAAAATGACAAGAAAATGACAAAAAAATGACTTAACAAATGACAAAAAAATGACTTAACAAATGACAAAAAAATGACAAAAAAATGACACCACAAAACAGGAATGACAAAAAAATGCAAAACCAAATGACAAAAAAATGACAAAAAAATGACAAAAATAAATAACCAACAACCCTCAGAGTTTGCTGGTAAGATTTTCATAACCTTTCATCATCCGTAGATTTTGAATGATTTCAAAGTAGTTGTTCAAGGAGTTTACGTAGACTTAATGGTTTCAAGAGAATTTAGTCATTTTAAGTATTTAATGAAATAAAGCACCACGAAGCCCTACCTTAAGAGTGCTTTCGAATACTAATTTAGTATTGTATCCTTTCTTTTTCAAAAACAATAGTTAATCACTATGAAGAAGAATTAAACAGAATTAAGCACTATTAAGCAATATTTTAAAGATGCCTTCGAACACTAATTTAGCAGCATGTTTTGTTTACACAATTTTAAGCGCTTTTGAGCAGAATTAAGCACTATTAAGCACTATTTTGAAAGGTGCGGTTGTTTCCTTTTTTTCATTTTTTTAGCACTAAGCAGAATCAATAAGATTTTCAATATATTCGAGTCATGCTTTTTGAATCGTGTTTGATGAGATTATGAGTGACCGCTTTACATATATAGTAAGAAGATTGCAAGTCGATTTTAGTTGATTTTAGAACTATCCGCAGCACGTGTGCTACGCCCCACAGGTATTCCACTATAAATGTTCACACGGTTTTTTCAGGGTTTACGTAGGGTTTCTTTAGTTGTTTTTCTTTTTTTCGAGTTAGTTTCTTTAGGGTTTTTCTAGATGTTTTTATGGTTTATGTAAAAAGTGACGAAAAACAGTTTTGGGGGACAGCAGAGGTTCACCGCAGAAAGATGTGTCATATTGTGTCATTAATTTTGAAAAAATGAAGTAGGTTTTAAGTGATTCTAGTTAGCCCTTGATTGATTCTAAATGTGGTTCCAGTCGAATTTGAAGTTTTAAAAAAAGTTGTTAAGTGGATGTTCAAGAACTTAACATATATTTTGTGTGATTTCAGGTAGATTTTGAAAAAATTGAATTAGAATTCATGTTGCACACTGGTTTCAAAGTCTGTAATTAATTATCATGTTCCAAAAGTCTGTTGAGGAGGTCCTGGTGGTGTGTATATGTATATATACCCACCTCTCCTGGAAAGGTAGGTCGGGGTGGGTAGCATATATATATATATATAATTATATATGTATATATATATATCATATATCACATATGGCTCTGATGTCCGAACTTTGACACCATAATCCTCCATATGTTTGCCTGTGATCACCTGGTCATCGCAGCACCGCGTGGCCAAGGTGACAATGGTCGGGCCGTATGAAGGCCTGTTGTTGGCCGAAGCCGACACTTGGTTTCAACACCTCTCCTCAACTCTTCAGCTGCTGGCATTGGGAAAAAAGGATCCCCCATTCGTAAGTGGTGAAGAATAGGTTGATAATCCTGGTTAAGTCCGCCAACTAGGCTTATCCCATGTTATCCCATGGTATCCCATTTAATCAGTTGGTTAGAGCAACATCAGACCCTAAGGAGATCAAGGACAACGGCCTGAAGTTGCCCGGATTCGACCAGCTCACCTACTTGGACACCGTGCGTCGCCCCCATGGTACCGGCGTGCGGCGCTTGGGACGTGTGGCGGATGAGGACATCATCGACAAGGCCGTGGAGGAAGCAGATAAGAAGTGGGATCCTGAGAATCATCCCAGCAGCTTGGTGAAGCCGCTGAAATCAAGTGACAAACATGTTGAGTGATTCATCAAATTCATGTATTTCCCCATGAAAATTTAGCATTTGTTTCACATGGGGACTGATATTGACTGATGTTGATTGATGCATTATTAAGGTGGGAAACCTAATAAACCTACCATTTGGGGATGGTTTCTACGATCCATTTATGGTGGTTTAGGGGATGGCTTATTGTTGGGTTTGCCACGTTTATCATAAGTTTCCTGATTCCAATTTGATACTTTTCACGGTTTGTCAGATGGGTTTGTCAGCAAAAGGGGTATTTACACCCAATAGATTGTCATTTTGAATTTATAGGGAAATTCACCAGTGGATGCAATGGGGTACCCTATGTTCAGACAAGCCCAGGTGTGAAGAACACGCGCAGACCATGGCAAAACCCAACTGTTGGAAGGATTTTCTAAGGTTAGGTACTGATGGCTTTATGTATGGCCTTTTCTCAAAACCATAAGGGGTTGCATACCCCACATAAAAGCATATGTTGTTTTGGGATACATTTTTGGGGGATGGTTGTTGGGTTCTTTTTTGGCAAAGGTGTGGCTGTAACCAATTGTAACCAATCATGATCGGGAAACAAGAGATGGGCTAGCGATTCACAGGGGGTGTGGGCGCCAGAAAATGAGACCTGTAAGGTTTGATGTGCAGTAAGACTTGATGAATCAAAAAATATGACAGTTGCATAAGCACACACATATATACATATAATTATATATATATATATGTATGTACGATGCAGACCTGCTGTTGTAGGATCCAGACGGGTGGGAAACGCTTGATCTGTCGTCGAGTCGTCAGAAGTTTACCAGACTTCTAGCTGAGCCTTTGTGGATATGCTGGATATGCTCAGTAAGTGGCCCTCAACTTAGCCAACTAGCTACGCGTGCAGCTATGATTTCGCACGTCCATCAAGCTCTCAGGTATGAAGAACTTGCATCGGGCCCTGGACTCCCTCTACGCCTGGGGTCGCAACATCACAGGGGCCCCCGCCGGAAACAGTCGTCGGGCTTTGACACGAGCCAATCTGAAAGACACGTGGCAGATCTTAGATCTTGGCAGATCTTGGTAGGTGTTGGCAGATTTTGGCAGTTGGTTTTCTGCAAGAATCTCCAAACATTGGATCGGCTAGGCAGCTGCAGACTGAGAGGTTATCTCGTCCACTCCGTAGTCCCTATCAGGTTGGGGAATTAGAAAGGTGCTGTCCTGTGCCCACAAGGCCATGATGTGAACCCACTGGCCAAAATTGTGGCATTTCATTGTAGACACATGTTTCCATCCACTCACTATAGCTTGCGCCAAGTCTCGGTATATGTCCCAGTGCCATGCATGCCTCAGGAAAGGTTGCACTTGATCGAGCCCGCGTTGCAAGAGTATTCAAGCAAGTGGTCCGTGGAAAACTTGGACACTTGTGCATGAGGAAGCTGCTTGGTAGCTGAAGCAGAGGGCTACGTTCAGGGAGGGTTGTATCATGAAGGGCCAGCTTGGCATGTGCCAATGATATCTATTTGTATTCAGTCATGATTGTGGCCAACCACTACCCGGCATCAGTCTTGTGAAGGTGTTTGGTTGCTACTATCTGGGGAGTGGAGTGGTAAGTGGAAGCATTGACTACAGTTTTTTGCTTAAAGCTTGACTTGGAAGCCGCCCGCCTGAAAGGAAGGCGCGCTTTTCCATGACTAGACTATACTTGAGATTCCGCATGGCATTTGCCACATCCATCAGGGGGGCCCCTTCAGCCGAGGCAGCTGAATGAGAGCGCACAAAGTGCCAAACGGAATGACGAAAGGTCAATGAATAATCAATCTTCCTGGAATCGCTCCTTTGGGGGTGTTGCAGTTGCGTGTCGTGCTCCGCCGATACCCCGATCGCAATGATGGAGCTATTTTCAGTCACCAGTTTGTGCGATTCGCCGATGAGCATCGTACGTTGCTGTACTGTATACGCTATTTGGGACTGGGTAGGATGAATGTCAAGGGAAAGTTGAAGACCCCTGACGGACATGTTCGAACTATTTCCGAACCTTAGAACACCAGAAGTCATAAAACACAAAATCCACCTGGAAATCAAACTCACAGCCAAAAGAGCATGGCTCATATTGACTACTACACCATGACTATATGTTGACAGCTTGATGTCAAGATCACCATGGATCCATGCCAAAACTGGCCAGCCATAATGCGTTGCTGAATGTGAGCCATGCCTGGCACAGAAGACCCTTCCCAAATCCTTCTGCCGATTTTGACTTTGCATGTTTTGCCACTGACGCGACCCAAAAGTTGACAGCTGCCACAATGGATTGGGAAGCTGATCTCTCCAGCAGTGCTGGTCTAGGCTCCATGTAAGGTTTTCACGTCACATGATGGTTTCCATGGCACATGTCTAGCGATGTGTCCTAAAAGTGAGAGAGATACTGTCAACCCCGGATTAAAAAACCATGGTTGATTAATTAGGGGGGTACTCCCCAAACAGTCATAATCGGATATCCCCCCAATTAAACAGCCTAGGGCCTAGGGGTTTATTAATCCAGGGTTGACATTAGATTTGCGCAGCAAGGCGCGGGATCAACACAATGGCAGTGAGGCCGGGGATGTGGGTCAGATGGGCCATGCTAAAGTTGAAAAAATTACCCTGTATTACCATGTATTACCCTAATTGATTGGTTAGTATAGGGACTCGGACTATACTACGAAATTAACCCATGCTGTGGAAAACCTATCATCATACGGATATAGGACTTTTCTCATGGCTCCAATGATGTCAGCAATATTCAGCTGCCAGCCTCAACTGGCAGTGGCTTCCTAACAGTTTTTTTATCCATCAAGGCAAGTGGCAAGTGATATTGCGTCAAAGTGGCGACCACAGGCCAGATTTGCGCCTCGTTGCCGCCGCCCGTGCGGGCGCCTGTACTTGTAGAGCTGCTGATGGAGATGGCTGACGACGGGAAGACTGGAAAAATCCAAATCTCAAGTGACTAGTCTCATTACTGTTCAGAGATGTGTCTAATTTGTTTGACGTCTAAGACGTGTTTAGTTCCATCAGGACCTATCCATCAATCGATCAATCTATCTATTTTATCCATCTATATACCATTATATACCTACATATCATCTATGTGTATAATATGCATACACATATCAGGACATATTGAGTCCCTTCATCTATCGCATCAGGCCTTGGTGATTCAGCTGAGGTTGGGACCGTCGCGTAGAGCTTTTTGATGGAAAGTTGCTGCCCCAAGGGGCGAGCCAAAACTGCGACACGACAACGACGGCACAACTTACTGGGTTTTAACAGTTGAGGTATTAAAGCCATGGCCCATTTAGATCCATTTAGAGACTATCTACTATATATTATATATATTATATTATATTATATTATATTATATTATATTATATGTATATATATAATATGTATATTTTATATATTATATGTATATTTTATATATATTATATGTATATATACCTACTTTATCATTATTTGCTATTGAAATGGTGATGTTCCTTTCATGTTGGGAGGGCGCACCACCTGAGGACAGCCAAGTCTCTAAACCGACTGGTTTGTCATGATGATGCAGTTGGGAGCCTGAAAGTTGGAGTTGGAATCAGGAAGAAACGATGTGGAAGATCTTCCGGTGGGAAATGGGTGCACAAGCCACCCCTTTATGTTCCCAGCCTTTGGCTGCCCAGGTGCTTTGCATCGGCTTTGAAGAAGAGCAGGGTCGTTTTGCCAGCGGCGGTGCTGATGGCCGTTGGGGCACCCCAGCTGTGCTACCGAGTTGACTTCGAGACTCTGCCCAGATAGTTGAGGGAATCTGGGGCCATGCCATGTGAGAGGCCATGGCGCGAATTTGTTCGCTGGCGTTTGCTCTCTACCATGGTAATTGAGAATCTTCATGGAGGGGCTTTCCAAGATAGTTACCAGTTCGGACCATATTCTTTCATAGTGTTTCCACATGAAAGGGATGATAGAAACCATCAGCGGGATTTATGTTCAGTCTTTCCAGAACTGCCATCCTTCAGTTTCCACATTATCTCCTTGGCCACAACAGCCAGGCATTGCTTTATGGGACCTCTTTAGCGAGACGTACTTGGGGTGCGGGGTCCCAGAACTGGCTTTGGCACACATGGTTCCTGTTGGCCAGAGCTTCCCTGGTTTCAAAGCTGCCGAAGCTGAGGCTCCTTTCATCAGTGCCCCTCTCAGATTGATGGCCTTGCTTTGTTACTGGGAAGCGATGAAACTCTATGTGCCTCGGCTTTGAGGCTGCGGTTGCTGATGACCCAACAGTCTTGGAAAAAGTTCGCACCACACCATGCCGCACCGGAAGAAATTATCAGTTTAAGTTTGAAAAATTTTGAACCAAAGGCTTGTGTCCTGGGCGACGTATTTTTCGAAAAAGATGCAGGTAAGGATGCTCCAGCTGATCAGGATTTTGGCTCAAGAATAGCTGTTGTTTGCCTTGGTCGAACCAAACTAACCAGCTGCTAGAGGACTAGAGGACTCCAGATGCATATCTAGGGCCCCTAGCCATCAGAACAAATCTTTAAAACCAATGCCAGACAGCCAGATGCTAGACCAGATATGATTGCCAGAAGTGGTATCCCAACCTCCACCAGCCCACCTCCATTTGAGAGAGTGAGAGCCTAATTTACTGCAACTACCCAAAGTTCAAACCAACCTCTGCCAACGTCACGGACTCCACTTTGATACTTTGCAACAAGAGGAAGGCAGCTGAAAACGAAGCGTTTGAAAGAGAATCCGGTGACTTGACGCACAGCACGGCACGCCGTACCTGACAGGACAGGCTCTCTTGTTTCCGAGGTGTGTTGGCCGGGGGCTGTTGAACGTACCTCGTGAAACACAATTGCATAATATGCGATGGCCAAAGGGGACCATTGATTAAATTGGAAAGCATTTTATGGGTTTGTCTGAAGATAGGGTACCCCCCAAGTTGCTGATTTATCATCATATTCCCCATGAAATGGCAATAGTGTTCCCCATGTTCAGAGAACCCCCTGTGATCCCCTATGGCATTCTGCTTGTTGGGATAAGTTCACTTAGATCTTCCAGATGCTGCTGGATGAAGGACTTCCTTGCCGAAACTCCTGAGACTTCAGAGAACTGCCGAGGCCGAGGCCCACAGAAAATGACGTCCAGGTTGTTCATGATTTCCCGTGGTGTAGCAGTGAGATCCGGTGAACAGATATCCGCTCAGGTCTAGGTGGTGTAATATTGGATGTCAAAGAGAGTCAGTCATTCAGTCATAGCCAAATAAGCATGCCTCAATATCAGTGGTACACTGGCACACCATGCTACACCTGGATTTGCTGAGTGGAACCCACAATTCGTATCAATTCGTGACATGTGAATATGATCACGTTCATCCATCATCCATTCAAGTCGTGTCATGAACCCATTTGTCCCAGAATTGGTGGAAGGGAAAATTTACAGGAACCCTCCCCCCATATAAGCTGGTATATTCCATGCTTTCCTGAACTGTAAATGTTCCCTGAAATCAATCCGTTGAAATTTGCTGATTAATGAAATCTCCATTCTGGTTGATGAAGTGTCACTTTCATCCTAGCTACATCACCATTTTCCCATAGTTTTCCTAGTGGAATCATGTTAAATCACCATGTTTTTCATTGTTGTTTTCACTATGTTCTCCATGTTCACATTTTTCCACCATTTTCCCCATGGTTTTCCCATATGTTCCCATGTTTTTCACCATTTTCCCCATGGTTTTCCCATGTCAATTAACTCCCCAGGTTGCCGAAGCGCCAGCCCTCCACCGCGCCGCGTCCACGCGTCGACCGCCGCCATACCATGGCGGAGGAGGGTGTGGCGCCGTCGGCGGAGATCGCCATCGGTGCACGCTTTGGGCCGCAGGATGATCAGCAGCTGGGGCAGCGATTTTTTGGGCCAATACCCTCTGGCAGAATCTGGATCCCTCTGGTAAACGCGTTAAACTGTGGAAAGATCCACCATACTATTAATGGGTACATATGGGTACATCAACTATTTCAATGGCCATGTTCAATAGCGCTGAGGGTATGTTTACAAGTTTACCAGAGGGTATTGTTCGTCCTTGTGCGGATGTCCGCGGCGATGGAGAGATTGTTTGTTTTGTTTGGCCAGTAAAAAGGTAAGATGGGGTAAGGAACTGGAGGCTCCTAGTGAGCCAAGCTACTACGACTAAGAGTTTCCCAACCACATGTTGGGGAATTCAACAGAACATTGGTATTTAAGGTATTATAGTTGTATAATGAGATAAAAATAGAACCAATGGGGAATGTCCGAAAACATTGTACTGTGGACACAATGGGACTATAAGTGGGGATTCACACAACCATTACACTCAATCAACCATAGCTGGGGATATAATGGGATTTTGAATTGAGCATAGAGACAATTCAAACGGTTTTTGCTTGGCCGCCTTATTTATATGGTATTAAGAAACCCCAAGCAGATTCACGAGAATTGCGCGCTTCGTGTGGGCAAGAACCCTGTGACCACAAGAGAGCAGAAAACAATCACAGCATGAGAGACAATTTGTTTCAAGCCCGCTCATCGTTTAGAAAACAGACGTGCAAGCTGCAAGCGCTTCAAATGTATGGTGCGACATGATTGTTCCCCATGTTTCCTCCATCCCAGTAACTAGTGAAATTAGATCATGTACTCCCAGAGCCCGTGATGGCATGGTCATGCTACCAGGTATGAGATTGGAAAACAACTGGGTCACGGCGCGGCTTCACAAGTCTTTTCCTGCAGGCAGGAGGGGTCAACAGCCACCTGGGGATGGTGGAATCTCAAAATCCTTGAGGATTGGTGGACAAGATCCAGTCATAGATCCCTGTTCAAGATCTTCATTACATCTAAAGGCCGTTAAAGACCTAGGTGTGATACAATGGTTTTAATCCTCATTTAATCCTCAACAAACAAACAGTAAAGAAGAGTTTTATAATACATAAAATTCCATGTTTTATGGATGTTTTATGGATGTTTTATGGATGTTTTCATGTTTTTTTCCCTAT